TGACTAAGCTAAGCTAAACTAGATAAATGAAAATAAGTTATATTAAAAGTCATGAATCATAATGACTTTTTTAAAGTAGACATATAAAAAGAATTCATAATAATGAAAGTCATGAATCATAATGACTATGTAAAACTAGATATATGATAATGTAAATAAGTTATAGGACCATTTAAAGTCATAAAACATAGTGACTTTGGAAAACTGGACATCTGAAAATAAGTTTATTTAAAAGTCATAAATCGAAATGACTATTGAAAATACTTTTAAGCTAACAGTCCTTCAAAAAGTCATAAATCATAATGACTGCCTAAAACCAGAGATGAAAATAATTTATATTCAGTCATAAATCATAATGACTGTAAATTAAAATGTGCATAGTGATATGTTTATATCTTGAATAGTTAAGTTCTCTTGGTGTAATGTAACACATTCATGCTAACCCATGGAAGTTGCTGTGTCAAAGCAGCAGAGTCCAGTCTATTTAAGATATTAAGATACTGTATACACATATGCACATTGAAGATCATCAGATGTAACTCATAAAATTCAAAATAAAATATAAATAAAGACAAAGCCTATACAACAATATATAAACAATGTTTTTTGATCAAATTGTGAATCAAGAAATTTGATTTCAAGATAAAATTCTGATTATGATTTGTTTTCAAATGTAATTATATTTGTGAATGATTGAATTGATTGTTTCATGCAATGGTCAATTGCTCCCAATGGTTGAATTGATTGATCTCTTTGATTTTGGGCCATCATATTGATTATTCTTCCCATTGATTGTGAGGAACTTAAATGTTAATTTGTATTTCAGGAGAACTTTTCAAATATACAGCTGAGGATGAGGGTACAATAACTGATGACCTTTCAACAAAAGAACTTTATCTAAAAGTCGGTGCAAAAGTCATTGTAAACGCCAACTCTAGAAATGACAAAAGGATCGTCAACGGCCTTCAAGGCATAGTACTAAAATGTAACGAAAAATCAGTTGTTGTTAATTTTAAAAATGTTGGATCAGTTACATTTCATCAACAAAAGTTCCGGCAGTTTGCACCAGAGGGACTTGCGGAGGTTGGCTGTAGAGCCCAAATACCCCTTCAATTGGCATTTGCCCTTACTGTCCACAAGGCCCAAGGCATGACCCTTGATAGAGTCATAATTGACTGTAGGCACATGACGTCCCCAGGTCAAATTGGTGTTGCTGTTGGGAGAGTTTCCTCCAAAAAAGGGCTTCAAATTATCAACTTCAACGAGGCGCTCCTTAAAGAACATGGTCCAGAAGTGCACGAATACTATAACAAACCATATCTACATGAAGAAGAACTGCTGGCATATTGTCAGTCTGTCGTAGACCCTGAAGAAGAACAAAAACAACATGAAAGAATCATCAATGATGAAAATAATGAAGAAGAAATGCTTCCTCATATTGATGAAAATAATGAAGAAGAAATGCTTCCTCATATTGATGAAAATAATGAAGATGATGCTAATGTAGGCCAAGGGAATGTGCAATATGACGATGAAAAAATCAGCAGTATTATTATGTCAATGAAAAAAAGAAAGTATGAGATTGCAAATACCATTGAGAAATTAGAATTCAACAGTGCAATAGAATCAATCATCCATTCTCCACAAATTCCTGATGTCATAAACTCACTCAGTAGCCTTATCTTATCAAAATATCCCATTGACATTTCAAAATTCAGTAACAAATCATCAACATCAATCACCATATCCATTCCAAGAAGTGACCTCTACAAAAGTCTATTACGTTTGATATTTGGTGAAAATCCCAAAACACATGAATTTGAGGCATGGCATTGCCTTTTTAGGCACATAGCAGGAAACCTTGCACAGGAAAAGGCTTCACTCTTAATCAACAGTCTTCCTGATGATGAGCGCAGTTTTCCCGACACGCCTTTGGGGAAAGGCACCATAGCCTATGTTGGGGGTTGGTGTATTGGATCAGTTACGATGAGTTTGAGAAATATAACTAAACAAAACTTGTATAAATCATCTAAAACATCAATAGTGAGCACGGCGGTTTCTCAAATCAATTTGCTAGAAACTATACAAGTAACCGCCACAGAAGATGCCCATGATTATGTTCTGAAAAAAGAGGACAAAGGAACATTAGTCAAAATAAGTGCAACATGTCAGTCATTTTTTGAAGAACTTGAGGCTTCTGTTAGAGCGCTACAAACTCCAAGAAACATATCACAAAATGGTGGAGATATTCTTTCCAAAATTGAGAAAAAAATTGAAGATGACCAAAACTTAAGGGACAAATGGTTGAATTTATTCAAGCATGTCAAGAGTGGTTCCACTGATTGTGCATTAGGATTGTATAAAATGGTATTTAAAAAATACCTAAATATGTGTGGAAATCAATTTAGGAAAGAAATGTTGAGGGATTACGATGTAAAAAAGGAGGACGCACACAGAAAACAAATCAAAATGAGTCAGAAGAAACCCCAAAATTTCACTTTCAAATGTATAGAGGAGGATGCCAGCATTGGAAAAATTGCAACACACAGGAGGCTTCAATCCGAAGTAGAAAAGGATGAGAAATTCCTCATACAATTTAAGAGAAATCAGATAAACGCTCTGGCAGAGGCATATGATGTCACAATACCAAAGAGAATACCTAAACTGGAGGCAGCAAAGCAGCTGATGAAAAATATCAAAATTGCTGCAAAAATATCAAACCCACAAGTAATTATATTTTCAATGCAATTTTACTCAAGAGTCAGGAATATAAAAATAGCATTTAAGTGGGTATTATACAAATATTTAATTCTATCGAGGTGAAAAGGTGAATAAATGTACATTTTTCACAATCAATATTCCAAGAGTCATCTTGTGAAAGTGCCACAGGTATTCACTGAAAATAGAACTAAATATTTGTTTTATTATTTACTGTTATATTCCTCACTCACATAAATGGAATAACTAGCCTATATAAAATCAAAATTAGACTGGACTAAGTCATGAATGATGAATATTATCAGTTATCACACGTTTCAGCATGTGATACAGGAAATATTCAACGAAAGGTAATACTGTATTGAGTGGTGATACATCGTTACCTGAGTGGAATATTTCCTGTATTACATAAGCTAGGAATTTTTAAGCATTTTGATTTGGTCAGTTATGATTGTGTTCAGTACCCTGTACTCCTGGTCACTATCATAATTTTTGATTTCGCTTTAAAACAATATGACGTCATACCGTTGGATTGGTACTTATATGTGAAATAGTATGACGTCATATTGTTTTCCTTAGCTAGAAGTGATATAACCAGTGACGTCCAGCGTTGCTATTGACTCCGTAGTGGTACAGAATATACATCATCACAATTGACCAATCAAAGTGCTTAGACACTCCTAATCATGTGATGACATTTGATATTCTATGGAAGTCACTTAAATATGATGTTTCAAAAAAGTAAAGCAAAATCACATTGGAAAATATCAAAATATGATATTATAAGACATATTTTAATCCTTAAAAATGTATTAGCTTCATGTTTTTACAGAGTATATATGAACAAGACCAAACCACTACAATTAATCCCCTTACAACTGCAAACCCTACAGAGCCAGCACCCAGAGAGTCAGCACCTTCAGAGTCAGCACCCACAGAGTTAGCACCCACAGAGTCAGCACCCACAGAGTCAGCACCCACAGAGTCAGCACCCAGAGAGTTAGCACCCACAGAGTCAGCACCCACAGAGTTAGCACCCACAGAGTCAGCACCCACAGAGTCAGCACCCACAGAGTCAGCACCCAGAGAGTTAGCACCCACAGAGTCAGCACCCAGAGAGTCAGCACCTACAGAGTTAGCACCCACAGAGTCAGCACCCACAGAGTCCGCACCCACAGAGTCACCACCTACAAAGTCAGCACCCACAGAGTCAGCACCTACAAAGTCAGCACCCACAGAGTCAGCACCTACAAAGTCAGCACCCACAGAGTCAGCACCTACAAAGTCAGCACCCACAGAGTCAGCACCTACAAAGTCAGCACCCACAGAGTCAGCACCTACAAAGTCAGCACCCACAGAGTCAGCACCTACAAAGTCAGCACCTACAGAGTCAGCAAGTACAGAGACAGCCCCTGATGTATGAATTAATAATTAACATCATATTCAATGTTCTATAAACAAAATATACATATTATTTAATTCCAGCCTTAAAACAATATGAGTGGAAAAATGCTAGTACATTTTCTCTGCGAATGAGCAGTTTTTCAGTAAAAAAATATTTTGTGTGAAAATATTGAAATTTATTGTAAAAACGACCTGCTCCCTAACATTGACCAAATCAGGCGATGACATCCCGTGATAAGAACCTCTATATATTAGCCATTTGATAATATTATTACACATTTATATTTAACAATTACGTATACGTTGGGAAGTTTTTGAGATTATTCCATTCAGAGGATTTAATTTGACTTTAGTTTTCAAGGGTACCATTTTGAAATACAATACATGCAATACGATTATCTTTCAATCGTATAGAGGCTGGTAATAGTTTAATAATACAAAGTGTATACAGTAAAACCAAAAAACAAAAAAAAATTAATTGCTTTTGAAGTGTGGTCGTGTTCTTGATCTAATTTCCCGACAATTATGTCTTTAATTGTTAGATCAATATTGAAGAATTTTTTGAAGTCATCCCAAATCTTGGCACTATATGTAAAAGTGTATCGTGTCATCTATTTTATCATTTTTACAAAAGTCGCATAAATTTGAATTTTTTATTTTCTTTCGAGTTACAAATTGATTATTTGGTGTTAAGTTTAAAACAAGTTTGTATTGAAGACATTTAATTGTATTCTCGGTTCTCGAACAGTCTTAAAAGGTATTAATGTAAAATATTTTTCCAATCTTCTTCTGTACAATTAAAAGGCATAAATGAAGTCCTTTGAAGAAGGATGCCCGAACCCGGCCATGTTTGATTTTCTTGTTTTCTCTTATTACAGTAAAATGGGTTGGCAGCGGAAATTGATGTTTATGCAGCTGATATTGGTATCGGTGTTCCTCTCGGTTCAGCCCACACACTCTGAAGACCCTAAGCTTCGTATCTCCTTAACTGAGAAGGATCTTTACAAATTCGGAGATAAAGCTTACGTAAGGGTATACCAAGCAGTGGTTGGAGCAATACCAGGCGCATCTGAAACAAAATTCCCTTCCAAATTCCGATTCAAAGATATTTGGCAGGATAGACAGGGCAGAATAATCATGCTCCCAGCAGGTGAGTATACTTTTTCTGGATGTCATATTTCTTGATTGTAATATGAGAAAAGCTTCAGAGATAAATATTTTCTTGAAAAATTCGTTCCTTAAACAGTGTTATCATGACCCAGCTAATTCTCTAAAATATATTGTTGTCATGGATACGGGAATCTGTGATATCTTACACATCCTGAGGACTATAATAAAAGTGTTTTCAGCTTCCCATCGGCACCAAAATATTCCATGGCACCTCTTTGACTTTTAAGTTTTTATTTTTCAGGAACAAAAGACCCGGTGAACAGTAAACTATGGATAGGAATTGGAGACCCGAGAAATCAATTAAAATTCATGAAAAGATATCTAAAGGAAGGTAAAAATCCGTTGATTAGGTCATTTCTTGTGCCTTATGAAACTGTCCGAAAAGTCCTCAACCCAAAACGTATTTGCACCAAAGATTCGCACCCAAACTCAGGATTATCAATGAATGTGGATCAGAACGATTATGCCAACCAATTCGGACTTAATCGTTTAGATGCAGATGAACTGAGAAAAAATGCAGTACCGGAATCATTGGTTACCTTTGCCACAAAGATAGACGACACTGAACCTCATTGGGGAATCTTGCTTGATAAAGAGGTTTTAAAGAACGACTTTAATAAGAACAAACCCATACAATCTCAACTAGGGGATGTCAATCTTAAAAATGCAAAGGACCTTAAGTTCAACGAGATCCCATCCATCGAAAAAGATTATATGTTTTCTGGAAGACCTTTCGACGACAGTTATTTTGAATCTATTATTCAGAAAGGAAAGACATACAAGTTGGAATTTGAGAATTCAAGGACATTTCTCAGTTGTGTTGAGGCTTATTCTAGAAAACTGGTTTCTATTCTTAAAGACGATAATAGTCGATCCCTGAATGCAATACGCCGATACCGATCAGAGAGGGATCTCTGGGGTGTTTTGAAAGATGTGGATCAGAACTTGGACTTGACAAAAATAGAACTTGGATTTTTCGGTGAAGGCAATCTCGACGTTGAAACACGCTTGAGAGAGTTAACTAATCGACTAACTAATAAGATTACTAGCGCCTTGACTAAAAGAGCAATTTCTCATACAATGAACAAATTTAGTCAAAGAATGATCAATGAGATGAATGATATGATTAAGCCCTCGTATAAATTAGAAGTTATATTTCAACTAGGAACCTCAGATGCAGTCGACAAAGCTTCAAAGTATCTGCATCAAAGATATGCTAACGAAGGCAAATTAGTACAACATATTATTCTAGACGAAAATGGAAATATTGAGGGTAAAAGGAAAGGAAATGGAAACATCAATTTAGATTATTTTAGACTAAACGTAATTGGACATGGTGAAATCAAAGATTCAAGTTTTACTATCGGAGGTAAACATCCAAATGAACTTGCAAACTATGTTAAAGATTTGGTGTCGCAAGATTTGGGAGCACAGAGTGAGTCGTCGCATAATCTTAAGAAAGTGAGTTTAATCGCATGCAATACAGCGCTTGACAATGACAAGGCCAAAATTGCAAGTACCTATGGACTAAGGTTTTTGGAAGCTCTTGAAACGCACAATACCGAAGTTACTGTTCGCACAGACGAAGTACAGATAACTATAGACGGCAACAAGGTATATGGACCGGGAACTGACCTTCGAATTAGAAAAGATCCCCCTGTATTAGTGAGAAAAAACGTTGACGGAACAACAGAATATGGACTAATCAATCTTGAAACAAAGAAACCGACATGGAGCACAAATGAACCTAGCGACTTAAGCTATAGAAAAATGCTCTTAAAAAAATCATTTCATCAAAATGACATAAATGAAATAGTCGAGAAAACAAATCTCAGAAAGAATTATATATTTTATAACGGGAAAGACACAAGTGGGAATCTTAACTTGAGAGATTTTGATCAACCTGGAGTGCAATCAGTACTTACAGATATAGATTCTGCGGAATGGGTTGAAAAGCTTACTTATGCGACTGCCGAAGCAACTAAAGACATGCCAGATAGTAGTGACTGGATACCACTTATAGATACTGCATCTAAGCAGGAAAATGGAAACACTAAGGTGACAATCTTCAATTCTGATACACTTGAAACACGGTCTGTTGAAATAAAGAATGACGCATTTGTCCAGTACAAGAAAAGGTCTTCATCCCATAAAATGTCTCCTCGCTATCCTCCGAAAATATCAAAATGGTCAATTGGAATGGATGGGACTGGGGGTCTGTTGGGAATTGGTGGCTTTATCATGTCTGCTATTGAGCTGTCAAAATCAAAGAAATGCGAAGAAAATGTCACATGTCCAACGAATAAAAAGCTTGCAAAGTCTTTGGAAATAAATGCATACGTCGGAATTGCATTTGGTGGATTCGGTTCAATCACAGGAGGAGTGAGTAGCTCCCATAATTCTTTCATATTCTATCGTATTCGGGGATTCCCCATTACATCATATCTTGCATCATCTCCAATCAAATTGCAGGATTCGATCACGTGAACAAACATTAGCATGTGCTCTCTCAGTGCTGCGCATGCGCAAAGTTAAATTTGAAATCGTGGGAATGGCGTTAACATCAGTTCAACATCATCATTTCAAACCTACGGTAATACTATTGAAGTTACTCGATCCATACTTGTAGAGAATACTCATAAAACTACAGTGAACATTTGGAGATCCATTTTAACGACAAATTGAGGCCTGTTTATAAAATTTGTTTTCGAACGTGCTAATATGATAGGGCATCTTTGGGAAATCTCCCCCCCTGGTTCAATCAGTGACAGTATTCAACTAGCTGAACTAGCTGTAGGCTATAAATTAGGCAAACAAGCTGTGAAAGGAATAACGACACTGACGAAAACCACATCCAAATTTTTACAGTTTTCGAAAGTATTTGGAGCTGTAGGAATGGGAGTAGGTGTAGCTGGAGGTATTGTGGGTCTCGGGTTTAGTAGTTACGCATTGGACCATGCCGAGACAGATGCACAAAGAATCCAGTTTGGAGTTCAAGTTGGAATTGATTCAATTTCTACTGCTGTAAGTGTGGTGGGGTTAGTGGCTACATTTGCAGGAAGTAGCGCTATCGCGTCCAGTATTGCTGCTGCGGCGGGTCCTGTTGGTTTTGTAGTTGCGATAGTCGGTATTCTTACTAGTACGATAACTGGACTTACCTTTGAATTCATCAACACGAGAGATAACGCCCGTCAAGTCGGAAAGTATTTTCATACTTTAGATAATGTTTACGGCCGGAATGGTTTTGATTATGACGCTTCGACGAAGGTGTTAAAATTATTAAATGATGCTATCGTAGAGAGTGTTGATTTTAGATATGGAAGAATAAAACTTGATAGCCAGTTTATATACAGAACTGAACATGGACCTACTGGTAGTGGCAGGATAAACTACTTTTTCTGGTATGGCGATTTTCCTGTCATGATCAAGAACAAAAACGAAGCAATAAATATACGTAATGGAATAGGGCATGTTAGATCAGCTCCATTGGGTGGCGCTGAAACGTCCGCTGAGACTCTTGTCTTACCTGCAATACCAAAAAGTTATATAAGCTACAGCTACGGTCGATTACCGTTTTGTACAACAATGCATGACGAAGGGTTCGACGTCGTTCGTCGTTTGGAGGACAACAGATTTGATTACGATTTTTATATTTTTCCAGGCGAACAAATTATCAATAGTATCAATCACGAGTATGTTGACACAATGCTTACCATTAATCTTGATAATAGTAATGTTAAGACTATCCTGGTACCCGATATTAATTCATACGAGTACCTTCACAATAGATACACATTTAAGATTAAAACCCTTGGCGTGAAGCACGACATAATTTTGTCTGATTATTATTCGTTTATCTTAGAACGGATGTCGAACACACCTTGTATTTGGTATCTCCGATTCACCGATATTGATTTCCATGAAGTTTCAATTCAAAATTCTATATTACGTATAAAACACATATTGGTTGAAATAACTCACCGTTCTGATATAATTTATCTATCGGATGGCAATGGAATTTTACAAATAGATCTTGAAAAAAACACCAAGACTTTAGTATCTGTGTTCCACGATGAAGAAACGAGCTTAAGAGAACTAAAAAGGTATCTAGGAGATATGGATGGCAGTTGGTTGAAGAATCAAAAGTATGTCGTTATTTCCAACTTCACACAAAACGGAGCATACGTAGGCAGAGTGTTCTATGATACCAAATCGCGCATCTTTTTGTACACGGACTTACACGGCGTTGGTGTTTCCAGCAAGTTTAAGGATAATGTGCAATTGCTCGGTTCATATCAAGGGAAATATCAAAGAAATGTGTATTTCATGAGCGAGGAATATGATAACACTGTCGTTTGGCGAACAGATATAAAAACAAAACGGGTAGTTGCATCGTATGTATTGTACTGTGGAAATTATAATTTCAAGATTTCAAAACTATACCAGCAGCAGGAAACCAGCTATCTTATACAAAATGTGTATGATGTCAGTCTCATTTATCTCATTAATGCACACGATATTAAACTTATTGCCATTGATGGTAAAATTGGGAACATAGTGAAGCTTGCTGATTCCTGCTTTCCTTCTCTGAAAGATTACCTCCCCGGTACTGAACGCCAAGAAGCAAGTTTCCGATTTCCCGGGAAGTGTTTACACGCAACAACTGTTCCGATTCTTCCTGTTAAGCAAACACTTGGCAATGGTAAAAGTAGACGTTTTTGGTTGTACATGAATGCGACTGATCAGAACGAAGGTACAAAGGGGGACATTTTCTGTATTCCAAACAAACCACCTATAGCCACCGGTGTCATCACTCCTCATATTCCGAACGAATGCGAAAATCTATCACTCCGTGACATTAAGCATACAAATACCAGAAAAACAATTTATTTCTTCTATTGCGAAGGCAATAAAAATAAATTTTATTATCAGGTCGGTGATAATAAATCCGAAGAAGTGTATGTTCCTGGTGAAATAGAGCGAATAGAGGATTTTGGCGAAGTCAAGTTAATAAAATCAACAAACGGAGGTCTGTATAAATTTACAGAAACGAAAAACTTTACTCTAGCAGCACTGTCTTTTGATAGTTTGGCATTTCAGTCAAACTGGGGGAAGGCAATTCATAGTATTGCAAAAGAAGCCTTGGTTGATTCTTTCATTCCAATATTGGACATGAAAACTTTGTCGGGGAGAAAATTAACAGCATGGTATGATGCTGTTGATGATCGTACTGTCATCGTCTCTCCATCAATTGATGCTGATGACATCGTTTTCCTCGGCCCAACACCTAGCAAACAACTGGTCTGGTTATTTAGTCAAAATAAACGGCAGGTGTTTTTGCAGAAAGTTTGGAATGATGACGAAATAACTGGAATGATTATAAGAAGAAATGATGCTGTCTATATTCATATTGACGATTCGTATGGAGCAGCGATTGCTGCAAGTAATGCTAATAGTGTAGAATTTCAACGGGGAAATATCTTTATTTTGACAACTGAAGGAGTGATGGTTTCCTTGGATTATCTAAGACTAACAACATTATTGGGAGTCAATGCCACATGGGTTAAAAACAACTACAACTCACTTGATGCAGAATTGGAAAAGCTTTGCAAATTTTATGACTCTCCGGATCTTATAACAATGGGAAAAACATCTATGGACGGAAAAAGAAGTGATCATAAATGGTATCACTGCCTCATGAAATGTCAAGTCTCTATTCCAACTGAAAACCAAATTCAACCCATTTATTTGGGAATAAACCGATCTGAAAGACTGATCTTCTTTTTCGTAAGCAACTACATCATTCAATTCGATGCGAAAGATGATCAAAGAGTTTGTTCAAGTGGCTCGAAATTGTTACACGTGAATAATGCTATGCTAAGAGGGAGAACGCTTTTATTGCAAACTCTTGCGGCTAAACCACTTCGTTTTTTCCCGAAAATTGACAATGTATCTACGCTAGTAATTGCTGTAGTAGATGGATCTGATGTAGAAATACACAGCGAGGACTGGCTTCGTTATCCAAACATATTTCTTACAAGTATCGGTACATCTGGTGCTCAAATTGCACAGATAAGAGTCATCCCTCCATATCATTGTTTGTACCAGTACGATGAAATGGACAATACCACGGTTATCAGAGATCCTATATCTGACAGAGTTATCGTAATGGAAGATTATACTATGCAATATGACAAAATGGAAGATGATTATCTACCAAATGGAAATGAAGCAGTCCTTCGGGTCAATATGTGTAACGAAACACGAGTTTTTGTGACAACTCAGGAAAGATTTGAATCTTTAGCATCTAACCTGGCATATCCGGACACATCGCCGTTTTTAACCATTCTTCTATTGGGGACCTTAATAACAAGCCTTGTTGGATTGTTCTGTGCTGTAATTTGTGCGCGAACGAGACGTAGAAAACGAGTAAGAGCCAGACAGAGGGTTCCAATTCAAGATGACGACCAAAATCAGAGTGGACCACACGAGGAGACCCCACTTTGAGAAATCGTCGTTTGAGGACATATAACTCATTTAAGTCTTCTATTATACAAATCACATCAATGAATCGCACAGATGCGAGTAGGTACATGTAGTTACCAGTTTCACCACCAGGTGGCTCGTTCGGGTCAGATAGCATTAAAATATGCCCAGTGTAAATGAAAATATTACTATAGTATTTGTCCAATGCAAGAAAAGATATGTCACCTTTTGTGAGTTTATAACATGGGGTCTATGGGGAATCTCCTCGAACTAGAAGTCACATTTTCCAAAAAAAGATTAAATTTTCAAAGTTGATTAACAATTTTCGAAACCACTTTGCTAGATGTACTTGAACATGTGGATTTCAAATATGACATCACTTTGACTGAATTTTTAGTATTTGATGACGTAAATCAAGATTGTTTCTACTCGTGTCTAGTCTATTGGGATTCCTAAGACTTTTTATCTGGATACTAATATCACTAGTGATTGTATTACAGAGGCAGTCTGCACTTAGTGAAAATGACAATTCAATCACTCTTAGGATTCACATGAGGCTAATACTACTACAGATATGATCACTTGATTAGGAATTCGACTTTGACTGATTACCTTTGCCAAAGACTGTGACTGATCACAACCTTTGTCAAAGGCTGTGACTGATTACCTTTGCCAAAGGCAGTGACTGATTACCTTTGCCAAAGGCTGTGACTGATTATCTTTGCCAAATGCTGTGTCTGATTATCTTTGCCAAAGGCTGTGACTGACTACCTTTGCCAAAGGCTGTGACTGATTACCTTTGCTAAAGGCTGTGACTGATTACCTTTGCCAAAGGCTGTGACTGATTATCTTTGCCAAAGGCTGCGACTGATTATCTTTGCCAAAGGCTGTGTCTGATTATCTTTGCCAACGGTTGCGACTGACTACCTTTGCCAAAGGCCGTGACTGATTACCTTTGCCAAAGGCTGTGACTGATTACCTTTGCCAAAGGCTGTGACTGATTCTGATATACAGAATCAGAATCTGATAAACAGAATCAGAATGAGAATCAGCCTTTGACATAGGTAACACATAAGATATTTTACTGATACCTTCGGGCTGCTAAGTGTCATTGATCACTCAATATTATGCTTTGTAAATGTGTACGTTTTCTACGTTTAACTTTCATTAACGCTGGTTTTAACAAACGTATAGTCAGTATATACTTACATACATGTACCCACTACATAAGCATATTGTATAAATGCCGATATTAATGTTTTTCATTTAATGATGTATAAAGTGTTTTGTGAACTAGGTTTTTGTTTTTTTACCACTAGATGTATTATACTTACGATACATGAATATGTTGGCTTGTTTTTTCTTAAGAGACACTGGAATCATTACTTTGTGCTTTAAGAGGGAATCAGATATAGCAAGCAGGCAAAACAAAAAATTGTCTCAAATTTAGAATATTTTTGGCTCATGTCATTTCTTGTCATGTCTATTTTCTAAAAATCACAAAAGTGCATATTAAATTCCAGGAAAACTAAAGATTTTTACATTAATGTATTGTTTTCTATAAGAATGGTTACCATTCTTATTATTTGGGAGAATTTAAACATTTTTCACCCATTTTTGCACTTTGAATTATTAATAACTTTACCAATTTATAACATATTGTGAATCCTTTTGGAGATATTGTATTTGATATTGTAAGGAATAGATTGGTAGGTCAATTATACATGTTGCTTGTCACACCTATAGATCTGATTCTGCCTGATATTATAATTTTAGATTATGTTTAATTAAACATTACGCTAGTATGTGTATTGCTTGTTTATTTACAGGTTATTTTGTTTCTATGGAAGTTCGTCTCTCTGGATTATATAGTATCTTTATATAACACTTTATTCAATTCTTGAGAGAAACCAATTTACATAGTGTTTATCGAGACGTTCGACTTGTATCCACATGTCCTTTTCAAGATTAAATTTTTAAAGAATATAACCTAGTACCCCAAGGAGAATTGGCTTCCAGGATCGACCATCGATATTTTCCAACAATGAAAACATCGAAATGTCGTTATTTTCTGAAATTAAAACCGACTATAAATTCAAAATAAACAGTCCAAACGATTCGAACCAATATCGTGAACATTTCTTGTGAGTTTTGGAATTTTTCGTTTGGAAATAAGACCCAAATTCACGATTCAAATGTTGATATCGATGTTGCACTCTGGGAGCCAATCCTCCTGGTTAGTACCCTATAAACATGCAGATCGAGACAATAGAACGATTGATCTTTAATAATTACCTTAAGATAAATATAACATCACTAGTATGCATGGTTAAAAGATACTATGACATACTTTGCTCTAGTACAGTGTGGTCCAAAAAACGTCCATATTTTTTATTTTTGTAATATCTTTGTTGATATGTTGGGAATATCCATTTATAATTAATAATTGGAAAAACTATTCAAATTTTAACCAGATGATGTATAGTTCATACAATATGAATGGATAATGGTGACTCCATGATAGTTTCTGTATCATGGGGTGGTAACTGTCGAAAACAAGATTTTGCTATATGTTTTGAGCTTATTGCATAATAGTGCATTGTTTAAAGGTCCCATATAAAGTTAAAACCACTTTGGCTTATATTGTAGTCTTACCCAATGTTATCAAAGTGTGATATGTGAAACTTTTTTTTTTAAATTTCAAAAAGTGGTTTTTGATAGACTTTTTGTTTCAAAATTTGTGAATTTATTTAAAACCAACGTTTAGAGGTCACTCATATCTTCTAATTAGCCACAATTCATACCAATGAATAACATTCATCCCCCCATGTTTTTTGCCGAAAAAACTAAGAAAATCGGTTCATAAATAAGCGAGAAATGAACTTATCAGTGCATGAAAATGGTTCTGAGAAAAATGCATTTCAAAATTTTAGTTCTCATAGAAACCAATGGTACAATGATATCTAAAACATAATTTATTCTTCCTTTTAACCTGGTTAGACAATCAACATTGGTTTTTTATGAAAGTCTAACATATTTAGAAAAGATTGACATCGAAAAAAAATTTCAATTTTTTTCAAAAAGGCTTTGGTACCTTAGTGACATCACTAATGTTTCAAAATATTTTTGATATGCTAAAACATTGAAGTGGCCCATTAAATATGGCATTTTATTATTGAAATAGTGTATCCTTTGTTCAATCTTTGCGTTGGTGTTAAAAAGATAATCTTTTTTGAAATGCATTAAGAAATATTTGATGATTAAGAATTTTAAACTTTTTTTGAAAAATGGCGGGAAATTTGAATATTTGAGAAATGAAATGCTCACAACTTTTTTTTCAAAAATCTTTTTTTGTTCAAAAAGCTCTAAAATCACTTTTTAAGTCCTCACAAATAGTAAATGAATGATAAAAAAATATTTTCAAACTTTAGACGGGGACTTTAATCAACACTTTTAGGCTTTTACATATAAAGAAAAAGTATTGGAGTTGAGTTTTGTTGTTTGTAAGTCATTTTATAGCTCCAAGTCCAAATAATAATCATGGAACCTATTTTTATGCGTTGTAGTTCGTCATAAAGTTAGATTGAAAGATACATTGATACTAGAGAGTATTTGCTTCAAACACGATTTGCTCCATAAACTCCATAACCCATAAAATGGGATACATTTCTACTATATCTCATTCTTCTTCTTATATTCTCTTCTAGTTCCATTGTCTGCCACTGAAAATGTCACATAAGTTAAGTAAGTAATATAAGAACAATAACATCATTGCCCATTTCATGGTAGGCAAGGTGTCAAAATGTCTTAAAAAATGAGTAAGTATTCAAATACTTGACACAGACTTTACTACATTATTACCAATACCTATCAAAATGGTATTTGCATTTGTAAATCAAATTTCCTTCATTTGATACATAAATCAACAATTTCGACCTTCTAAAATAAGAGCTATATCCCCAAGCTGACATAGGAGTTATATCTGTCTGGTCACTTCTTAGCATTCTTTATCAAGCGATTTATAAATCATGATTTTGACCCCTCTGGTAGTCTGGTAATCGAAAAGAGATTTTTAGACGAATACTCTTTCATATGAAATGAATTATGTATCAGTTTGTTGGAAATTGAATTGTCTTTTGAATGATATTTGGTTAATTCATTTGTCTGTAATATCGACAAAATTGTAGCTTAAACAAAAATATGGACGTTTTTTGGCCCACCCAGTACACACCTAATAAAAACGCGTGGATACAGGTCGGAAGTCTCGATAAAATATGTTATTTAGAAAATACACTCAGTCATGTTTTGGAGCAGGTGGAGAAGCAGTGATGTTTCTCCTGCTTGACAAGTCAAACTCTGGAAAGATTGTTTCGAAGGATAAACCTTTTAGGATAAATATCCAAACTGTGATATCTACCAGGCAAAGAGATCGGAACAGTTGATGAATGTAATTTGCTGAGTTTTTTCAGTGCTTCATCATTTTCTGCTGCTCGGCATCGTGGATATGACCGATGTTTACAAAGTAGTTTCATGTAGGAAAATGGTATGATATACGACATCAAAATCAAGAGTAATATATAATTTCAATAAGATCTTATTTGTAAGAACATCGTAAGACTCTTTAATTCTGTAAAAGATAATATGTAAATATTTAATTTTGTAGATTTTATTCTATATATTTTTAAATATATCATCATTTTAAACTTAATGATCTCTTTTCTGTTATTTTGTGTCTGTTCGATCTAATGTCTACTGTCAGTTGATTGTTTAGAATACTCGGGACAGGTAGAAATTGTTTTGGGAGTTCCCAGTATATCATTTTCATTTTAAAGCAACCCTTTCGTTCGTTCACTTTGCTATTTCAGACCTGGCAACCAAAACTAAAAAATTCTAGATCTAGACAGCTTGTGAATTGTAACAGACTCTGACCGCCACTCTCCGAACACCAACCGACCTCCACAAAAAGTTGGAGACTAGGCCTATAACAGTATGGTGTCATAGAAATAAAAGGTTTTTAAATTGTTGTCTTATAAATTACTTTATTTTCATTTAAAAAATGTACATATGACTTAAATAGAGAAATTAAATTTTGTATTTAATTCATGCAATAAAATTTTTTTAATTTAGAATTTATATGATATGCCTCAATAGATTTGTAATAACACAAAAAATATATCACATTTGGCTGAAGGCTTTGTATAAAAAACCTCGTACCCACGCACGTGGGTCGTGATACATACTTTTAAGGGTTAAATTTTTTAATCTAGTTTTAGATACGGTGATTTGCTAAATGGAATCCCGTTTGGTAACGATTAGTCTCAAGGATCGTAAATTCAGCCCAACACACGACAGTGTTACTGTAGTCGTGGATGATGGTTCGCTATCTGGTTCTAATATTTGAACAATGTCGAGAGTAGTACAACCATAAAGACAACGATGTACTCTATCTAAATGCGTAAATAAGGTGACAGCTTTTAGACAACTTCCTTGAATTACCCAGCAAACAAAAACCGATTTCAGTGTAGATTGCTTCTGTCAGTGAACGAGCATTTCAATTTCACAATTTTGATGAAGGATAAAATAGCAAAGATAAACAATTTTGCAATTCTGGCCTTGTTTTATGACTAAACAAATGTGAGATTTATAAGACATACACATAGGCCTACAAGGATATTTTTGAAAATTTAACCCTGCAAAGACTGCATCATGTCCCATCTGCGTAGGTACATGGGTACGAGGTTTTTTATATAAAGCCTTGGCTGAAGTCGTCTATTTTTACAAAAGTTTAGATTTTTGGAACAAAAGTCCTAAAATTCAAATATGGCCAATATGTTAAATCAACATGTCTCCACAATAACCAACAAGACTTGGAAATCAATACTAGAAGTATAACACAGTCAACTATTTATCAAACTCCCAAAACCTCAAATACAACATTTACTCAATAACAATAATAGAGTAGTCTTACATCAAATGCCTGTTAATCTCCTTCCCCTAGGAAACACATCTCCCTCATTGCAATGGGGGGGAGGGGGGAGGGGGAGGGTACCAGAGACCTGTTGCAAGACTAGATATAAACCAAAGGCAGTGGTGTTTATTTCTCACAGATTACATTATAACATTTCCAATTTGTTGTACATCTTTTTGATGGCCTTCATTCATCCTCTCCAGGTGTCAAAATAAACACACACTGCTCTAGTAAACCTCTGATTCTTTATTAATTGTGAAATAAATATCTCCATGCTATCTAATAAAGTGTAGTGTAGGTGACATTAATAAAGCGTAGTGTAGGTAACATACGTTCACAATGTTCTGTACACTCTTGCATACAAAAATTCAAACTGATGACCTTCATTCATGACAGTTAGCCACGTTTTTGGAAAAAATCATATTGATTGATATTTAAAAAATATTTACAGCCAGTACAAACAAACATAGTCTTACAAATAACTAGAGCAAAAAATACTATTATTTTCACAAGTTTTACAAATAAGTACAATTACTATAATTAATAAATTAATAACAATGAAATCATGAATATATAGAAGTAACTTTGTAATAATAAGGTTCTAGCATTTGCAATTCCATTTACTCTGAGCCTATTACAGTACATTTCCAGATGTTATAATGCAGAACAGCTGTGCCTGTCAAAGTTGACATTTTCAGCTGTAAATTGTCCATAATCACTGCTGTTGATATTGCAACTACTCCTGTCCAGCCACAAGTTTTACTCTCTACAGTTATAACTAGCTGTAATTGTCCAAAATTACAGCTGTTACTGTTCATAGTAACATAGTTACTATTCAGTATCACAATTCACAGCCCTAACTGTTAGAGTAACTTGTCATAATCACAGCTACTATTGTTCATAATCACAGATGCTGGTCTTCATAGTTCCAGCTCTTACTGTTCATAATCATAGCTGTTACTTTACTCAGTTCAAGCTGTTACTGTGCATGTGCTGTAGGTAGGGCTGCTGGGGTAGGGCGTAGGGGTGGTGGTTGCTGAAGTGGGGAACGTGGTGTCGTTTGTGGCAACAACCTGTAAGAATCAAATAAGTTGCATTGTGCATACAATGTTTTGTATTGTACATACATTGCTTTGCATTATACATGACATTGCTTTGCATTGAGCATACAATGTTTTGCATTGTACATACATTGCTTTGCATTGTACATGACATTGCTGTGCATTGTGCATACAATGTTTTGTATTGTACATACATTGCTTTGCACTGTACATGGAATTGCTTAACCATTGTGTTTATGATATTGCTTTACATAGTATATGATATTGCTTTGCATTGAACATGACATTCCTTTACAATGTGTTTATGATATTGCTTTACATAGTATATGATATTGCTTTGCATTGAACATGACATTCCTTTACAATGTGTTTATGATATTGTTTTACATTGTATATGATATTGCTTTGCATTGTATTATGACATTGCTTTGCATTGTTCATAAACTGTGACACATAAATCAAGAACATTCTTAATGTACCTCAATTTCCTTTTTTAATTGCCCTATTTTTGAGATTGTGATGCCTGCAGCAAACTGCATAAGATTAGATGAATTAAATGGCCTAGCTGAGTAAGTTCAACAACAAGCCAAAACTGTTCATGACACCTGATAACATTCGAATTTTCATGAATACCTCATATGACATGGCCATTTTCTTCTCCTCATTCCAATAATTACCTAGCATGAGATGAAACAGGTTGTGCAGTTTGAATGGGTCTTGCAACTGCTGGGGTGGACTGGGCAGGTCTTGTAGGGGATTGTGTTAACTTCTGAAGTACAGGTGGCGTAGCACTCGAGCTGGTGACTCCATTGGTAACAACGCTAGATGGAACTCCATTAGGGACACTAGTAGCAGTGGCTGATTGCGAACTATTGCTTGACTCTGGGGTGTCATCTGTTTCCATCTGAAGTAGAAGTGTTTTAAGAATTTTGAAATGGTTTATAGGGTTCTGACAGGTTTGTTTTAAAGGTATTTTTATACTATATATCCAATACATCTGATACATATTTTCAAAAATCAAGTTTAGAACACTTTAAAATTATTTTAAAAACCCTAGAAATAACTTGATATCATATTCAATGGTACTGAGCTTATTATACTTTATTGGCAAAATAATGAAAAACAAAGATAAAAAAATGAATTTCCCATCAACATTTGAACCCACATCCTGCACAATTATGGCAATTACTTTATCATCTGTGTCTTCCTGTTTGTCTTCTGGGTGTTCTGCTTCATACTCTGCCACCACCTCATCCAGGTTATAACGCCTCCTATAGTTAATGAAGAAACTACGCACATGGGTCTCACTCTTGTTGCCGATTACCTCAGCAATGGCCTTGAAGTCTTTGCCATACTTCCTAACCCCTTGTACGGCCAATAGAAGCTCCTCGTTTGACCACCTTGCATTGATCCTTGAGTTCATCTGTAAGAAATGGTGAAATCAATTTACCTGGTTGTATGATAAAACATTGTACAATTCTTCAAACTGTATCACATTGAGGTTTTATTGTTTTCATGTGAATGGTGATTATAAATGTCATATTAGGATATTTAGTCACATAGAGGTACTAGTGAAGTTAGCTAGCTGGAGGAAATGACAAGTAGTGTTTTGGATAAAACAGGTAGCAAATCGCTACCTTCACAATGCTAATTTCGAGGCCTGCAAGGGCATTTTCCTTACCTCAGGTGGCTGTTGATCGGCTATACCCCCAACTGACTTGTGTTTGATAAGACTAAGCATTTGTTTATTGTTCTGGACTTGGCGTTTTAATGAAACCAGTTCCTGTTCGAGACTCTTCAGGATCGACTCCCCCTGGCCTGGGGGACCGGATGAGAGCTGCTTGAGATCCTCCATGTTCATGTACATGCCCCTGGGGGGTTTCCTGCGGTGTTTGGCACTGTGTTTGTCATGGCGTTTTGGCCCTATATTTGACCTCATTACACCCGTTCTCCTGAAAGATACAATCATCGATTTTATAAATAACTTTTTTTGACTTCAACAATTTTCTGATTCGAAATTGGTGTAATTTGAAACTTTTACCAATGTTTTTTAAGAAAACACTGATTGATTTTTGAACTGAAAATTACAATTGATGAGTTTGAAACTTCAAAAATACATATTGACATCATATATTGATAATACATATTTTACCATACTACAATACTGATATCATGTTCTAGATAGTGTACCTACCTCCAGTATTGGTAACATATATTGCACAGAGATCCTTTGGGAGTTGAGACAACTTGAGCTACACTTGTATTGCAGTTAGAGCATGTCCCTTCACCTTCCACTTTCTACAAATAAAACAAAAATTACATAACAGCTTTCTCCAGTTAGGATTCTCATTTTCACAATTCAGTCAAAATATGCCAGTTTTTCATCATTGTTCTCATTTTCAAGTGGATACAAAAAGATTCTCAGGTGAGTGAATGCCTATTATCAAAATCTCGGGTGGATGCTGCGTCCACTTGCTTTAATCTGGGAGATCACTGCATATCTAGTATTTAGGGGATTCAATAAAATTTTAATCAAGAAGCAACACACCAATATAAGAAGCTGTTGTTTTCACAAAATCGTCTGTTGTTTTCAGGGACCTTTCCCTAATGTCATGTTAATTTATGATTTCCATTAATTTTGCCTGTTGTTTTCATTTATTTAGCTTGTTGTGAGAAAAGTGAAACCCCTGTGATAAATATACACTTTGACCAAAATGGCTGCAAAATGTATGTAAATGTAAAATGTATGTAATGTTCTTGCAAATGCAAAACAATTATATTAGTGTTCTTGCTTGACCTTTGAACCCTACTGTTCTGCACGCCTTGGTTGTCGAACATTAATAATTCAGAGGGGAGACGTGACACTTAGTCAAAATTTTAGCTTCCAAAACTTCTGATGAGAACCTGGAATATATATGAATCAATGGTATGTGAATTCAACTTATGATCTACCCTGATGACAAATAAGCAGATGCAGTATTTCACCTACCCCATTTTCCTTGTTGCCATTATCAAAGTCACTATCATCATTTCCACTACCCTCAGATCTGCCTTCACTGTCCTCTTCGAATTTGTTTGCAAATTTACGTGCCTGGCGGTCCATGAGGCTAGTCCTTGATCGCGTCTTTTTCCAGGAATAGTAATACTTAACTAGACTTGCGATTGATTTATCAGGAAGCTGTAAACAATAGAAAAAGTTAATACGTCCTGAGAAGATTTGAGAGTCAAAACCCACTAAAGAATTAATAGTCAAAACACATGGAAGATTTGATAGTCAATAGCCACTGAAGAATTGATGCTCAATACCCACTGAAGATTTGATAGTTAATCCACTGAAGATTTGATAGTTAATACCCCCTGAAGAACTGATAGTCAAAATCCACTTAGAAGATCCACAAAGATTTATAAGCTAATACCCACTGAAGATACGATAGTAAATAAACAGCGAAGATTTGAAGGTAAATACCCAGTTACGATTTGGCAGTCAATACTGAAGATCCATTAGATGAGAATTTGAAAACTGTGAAAAGTTTGACCAGTTTTGAACAATTGAGACAGAGAAACATTCCCGAGGAAACAGAATATCTAATAATATAAAAATTATTTATGAGATTTTGAAGGCTTGCACCAATTCAAAACCAATTAGCCTGAAGAAAAATGCTGCAGATAGAGGAAAACAGTACATTGCTGTAAATTATATTTACCATTTGTCTGATCCTATGGAAACTCTTGCCATGGAAACTGAAAGCCTGTTCAAACAACACTTTGTCTTCTACTGTCCACTCATCGGGGAAAGGGGTGAAGTTTGCAAGATCAGTGAGAGCTTTCTCAATGTTGTGTTTATGCCAGAATAACATACCTAAGGCCTGAAAATATAAAATTGTAGATTAAAAATATTTAAAGATGGATTTGTATATGCCATATTTTTATAATTCTGTACAAATGGCATTTAAAATTTTAGCAGAATGCAATGCTCAAAGCAAGTTATACTGCATAAAAATTCATTGTTTTTTAGAATATTAGCACTAAAAATATGGATTTAAAATATATACTTTGTGGATGGATTGGCAAGTCATACTTCATGTTTTTTCATTTATGTTTTTATTTTCATTTCTTTGAAGTGTAATTTATCAAGCAAAATTTTTATGTAATCTGAGACTAACATTAGTCTCAGATATAATTAATGTATATGTTCTGTCTGTCTATTTATACTGAACATTACAAATTTTTAATTTTAAATTAAGATTAAATTAATCCATAATATCATGGTTTTACATTTCTTAGTGGTGACATCTTTTTAAGTAAAGTAATTAATACTAATTCACATTCATAGTGTATATCTGGACCTATTTTACAAAGTTGAATATAAAGGCCGAATAAAGGACAGGTGGTTAATATAAAGTATAAATGCTGGAAATATAAAATTCCATTTCCAGTTTAAATGCAGATAGTTCAGAAAAACAGCATTATGTGTTGTTTAATAGCTATATAATTGGTTATTTATAATAATAATTCTGTCACAAAGACGACAATAAGGATTACCTGCTCGGTGTTGTAGCCATGTTTAGTCTTCGCCATGGATATGTATTCAAGGAGTTTACCCTCAGGGACTTCTGGACTTGGGGCCCAAACCAGCATTGCTTCTGCCCGGTTCTCCATTTTAATCACATCTAAAGGACAAGGGATGTGAAAATTCAATGTTCATGACTTGATTTTACAATAGACCAGATGCAAGTAGAAATATTCTTGATTTTCATTATGAAATGTTCAAAATTTAGCCATCAATTAATTTTTGTCCTGTTTTTGGCAATTATATCAGTGACAGTCAAAATCTTGCATGGTGAAATTGTAACCAAATTTGAAGGCCCAAAATATTAACTGAAAATCTATCCACTAAATTTAATTACTAATCAAGTTTACAGATGGTGAAACTTGTAAATGCTACTGGCAACTATCTTATTTAAAACAAAACATTAAGATGACAAAATGCAGATGCTAACTGCGAAATGCCATCAACAAAATACAACTGATCACAAAAAACTTCTATGTGGTGTCATACTCATAATAAGCATTCAAAATAGTAAATCAATAACTGATACATCACATCTAGATAAAAATTTGTATAAAAAGGTTTGGATGTCATAGAGCACCTTTGATACCAGGCCTGTCCCAAGAGACTGGAAGTAGTCGTATGATGTCAGGTCCATTATGATTGCAATGCTTATTTACCTTCAATTTACGACCAAAATTCAATTTTAGTACCAAAAAAGGAGTAATGCAAAACAGCACCATCTGAGCAATACCAATACACAACCCACCAGACTCATCTTTCAATTATAAATTAATCAGGGGCGGATCCAGGAACCAAGAAAGGGGGGGGGGCCAAAATTTCAGGTCAGAGAAAAAAACGTCCGGCTTATGCGGAAAAAATATTTGGGCCCCTAAAATCCAAAAGTGGGCCCAAATTTTGAAATTTTGAGGCCCATTTTCTTCAAAATTTGGCCTGAAATTAAAAAATAAGGCCTTAAAAGGCCCAGTAATGACCAAAAAGGCCGACTTTTTGGGGCCTGAAGGCCTTGTATGGCCCAAAAAAATTTTTGGGCCCAATTTATTTTTTCTGGGCCCACTCAAGGGGGGGGGGGGGGGCGGGCACCCAGGCCCCCCCCCCCCCAATCTGCCAGTGTTAATGAACTCCATAATACATTTACATTCACCCACTTTATATTTGTTTAGTTTCTAAAAGTTTGCTATTTGGGCTTTGAGATAAAAAATGGTTTTCAAAAAAAAGAAAATGTCCAAAATAATTGAATGACAGAATGTGAACATGATTTAGATAATTTTCAAGAAAGAAACAAGCGCTTGTCAATAAGTATGTGTCCAACAGACTGGGTTAGTCCTCAGTCTGAATATTTTCAACCAAATTTTAAAAGATATCAGACTAGAGGAGTTAATCAATTCAATTGTGTCAATGCACATTTAGGGTCTGCTTTGTGGCTTTTATCCTATGTGCATTACATTTCAAAATGATCAATCAATAAATTAATTTGATAACAAAATAAAATTGAAGTGATTATCATATGCATAAAGGAATTGAAACATAATTTATTTTCAATATGAGACATACTAAAGGTGTTTTGTTTCATGATTATTTATCTCTGTGCATTTCTAATTCAAAATGATCGGTCCCTTCATTAGTTCGGAAACTTGCCACTAGAGTTTTATATTCAATTCTTACCTGTGTTGTGAACTGGGATTTCTGCTTGATATTCAGCACCAATTCGCATTCCATTATCTAAAATTTAAAACATAAAAATGATCAAACTGTTTCTTATAACTTTAATTGATTTAGTCCTGTTTATTTGTTTTAAGGCATGACATATATTTACCGTGTTCAGAATCATCCGTGGCGCTGCTTTCGCCTTCAGACAAATGTCCCGGGGATAAATGTCCATTTGGACTTGAAGATCTTGAGTTCAAATTTCTCCGACCCAAACGGTTTTCTTCTACTGTTCTGTCCGCCATAACCATCGTTGGAATATCACAACAGCTATATGTTTACCTAAAACGTCAGTATGACCGTTTATTGCAAAGAAACCGTCGATTTAGCTTCAACGTGCGGACCACTGTCGTATAGTGCTGGCAACCGAATTACTGCTCTTGGAGATTTTCTCCATCCACTTTCATAAATTTTTGAATATTCACAAGAGTTTTATGTTCTCAGACTTTCAAAAATGCTTTTAAATACAATATATTACAAATCGTTTACAATATAAATGCATGTAGACACGTAGTAGTGGAAACTCGAAGCTTCATTTTTCGGCGGACGAATATATTCAAATTTGAAAATCAGGATCGTATTGGGTTTTCGAGATTAGTGAATATTTTATTGGTGAAATTTATTGAGGAAATATCAAAAGAAAAATGTACCAAATAAATCATATTTTGATTTTTTACAATTCTAATATGTAAATGGTGAAGCGACCATACATCGTCTATATTGCTTTGCCCTTTTACTTGAAATTGTATTACGAAACCATACGTATTTGTGATTTTGAGAATTTCAATAACCTAGGCCCTCGGAAATTCATATTCATCTCTTTGTAGATAAAATGATCTGAAACGTTTTTATACATAGACAATGCTTATTTGAAATGTTAAATATTACAAAAATATATGTTATTCATGGAAAATACAATATTTGATGAAGGAAAGAGATACGAAGGATGTGTTTTTCCAGAATAGATAACGTAAGAAATATAGGCCTCCGTATTGATAAAGTATTGGATTGAGAGAGAAGTAGTCCTACGCTACATAACGTCCAATATAGGTTATTAGTAGTTAGTACATCTCATACATCAATTAGAAACACAACGTCTATTTCATTGCACCACGGATAGGCCTAACGTAGGCTAAAGCAGTTGCCTTTGTATTATTTCTGACATTCCACTGGGGGTTGTTTGAGAAATCTTACTGGTCTCAAGTGAGGGCCGTGGTGCGCCTTAGTCATGGAATAAAGATGGCATGGTAATCGGTAGAGAAAAAGATAATACTGGATTCTGCTGGTGCTGCCATCTTTATATCGGCCAAGAACCTATGACTTTAACTTTTATGAATTTGCCCATGATAGTAAGGAAACTGTAGGCCTAGCACTGTATCACCCGACCGTAGGGCCCTACCTAAGCCGGTAGGCAAAAATATTTTCAGGCCTTGCATCTATTATGCAAAATACGCACAGGCCGTACCAAATGAATTTGAAAACATTAAAAATGTGTTTAAATGCATTAATTCATTTCAGTGCGAATTTATTGATGCTTCCTGTAGGCCTATCTGTATTTTTACCATTGTCAACATTTATTTAGTTGATAAAAACGCTTAGATTCCATCAAATAACGTCCCTGTTTCCCGCCGGGGGAGCATACCCCCTAACCCCCGCGATGCGCGGCCTTCGGCCACGCAATCAGGCATCTCCGAGTGCGCATACCAACTGAATATAGCCCTACGCCCATGGCTTGTGGCTTTCAAGATTTAGAGACTAAGGCCAATGCTTACAATAAAAGATTAGTTGTTCTTCCATACCTTCTAAATGGGAAGTGACATCACTTCATGTGTGAAATCCCAAATTAAAAGATGGCTCGCATGAAATGAGTATAAGTTGTATTTTAAAATATTTGATAAATGTTGACTAAATTAAAAAATTCCCATGTTTTGCTAAATATGGATGTTAGCTACCACATCAAGAGATAGTGAGCTCGCAAAAATATTCCGACTTTAAGAATTCTCAATTTGCATGGATGAGGGAACTTTCTACTATACCCGCAATGCTATCTGACCCGAACGAGCCACCTGGTGGTGAAACTGCTATAACAACTCGCATCTGCATTATTTGTATGTTCTAGAAAATTATCGTTACCTAGATCGGTGTATTTACAAACCATTTGTGAAGACTGGAAGATGTACATATACCTGATAACATGGGATTCGAATTATATGTGATGATGCTGGCCCATTTAGTTAGACGAAAGAAGTGTATGCACCGGATCTGCCCCAAAAAATCGAGGCACATATTTCAGACTCAGCCGGAGCCCCCAAAATCTGCTTCTCAGCACATAAATTGCTCATTTTAGCTAGTAAGAAACAATAATTACTGGGCATTATATTTTATTTTTAGACGGTCTGTTTTTTTTCGAAATTGGAAATATCAACATGGTGTAGTTTGAGGAAATTAATCTGGCTTTATGTTAACTTCTACATATTTTTAAAGACCGGTCCCAATGTAAAGTTTAAATCACGTCAGTATTGTATTGTAACAGACCTGCTGAAGGATATCAAAATATACTATGCATGTGAAACTTTTTAATCCAAATTTCAAAAATTGATTGATTTTTTATTAAAAATATGTGACTTATTTCAAATAAGCCCATGACACAGTCAGCGTATCATCGTGACATCACAAATGAGAAATGCTTTAAAGTTTACATATGCATTTCATAGATTGAATGGTTGAAACAATATGACTTTTGCCTGATCCATTCAATGGATTGGAGAAATATTTTTTGTTTGATTTATGTGCATGCTCTTGGCAAGACTTTTCTAATTAGATAACAGATTCTCAAGCAGAGCATGAATTTTTTCTCGGTAATTCCACCCGGCACGTCCATAACCAACATTTAGGCGTGATTGAATGATTCTCACACTAAGAGGAGGGAAAGCCCCAGAGTTTCAAGATGACAGACATAATTACCTCTCTTGCTTACCACCTTCGTTTGTTCGAATTTTCATCGGCTAGTTATCAAATACTACACTTCGGTGGGATGTTATAATTGATATAGGCATATTTCGTACACCTTTCTTTATCTTGATGTGAAATGAGAAGCTATGATATTGGTTAACACGCCAGAAATGAACATAATATTATTCGAAGCGTATTTCGAAAATTTTGAAACCGCCATTGATGACGTCATTTGTTTGTCGACTTTTGACCAATCAGCGACCGTGTCATCTCAATACAGATTTACATTATAAGCGTATGTCATCTTTGAACCCTGGTGTTTCTCCCCCTCTGCTCACACTCTAATTTTTTGTTTCTAAAATGGCGGGAAATTCCGAATATTTGATAATTATGAAATGAACAACCAAATGTCAAATTTAGTAAAAAAATGTTTAAAATGGTTTTTCAAGTCATGAGAAGTAATATTTATCAAAGTATATTTTCACACCAGCCCTTAGCCAGCCCTTAGCACAGGATGTATTGACATTCTGTGTAGTTTTCCTTCACCACGTCTGCCCTTATCAAACTCAGAAACTGATTGTGTAGTAAACTGAATAGGATTTTGGAAAATAGGCACACACAACGCACATGTTTCAGCATTTGACAGCATATTTTTTGTTGGCTATTTTGTAGTTCCAAAAATTGTGGTTTTTAATTCAAGTGTTGATTGCCTTTTACGACTACGAATTATCGGTGTTCGTATTTTAACTGCTATTATTCGTTCGGAGTTTTACTGCATCCTGGACGAACAGACTCAAATAACATTTCGAGCGCGTAAGTTTTCACATTTTATCCCATTTATTGTTGATAGCATCTAATCAGTCTGTATTTTATTGTTCAAAAAGGCTCTTAGATGCCCCTTTTGGCCCAGGGTAAGTATATTTGTCGCCAGCCGTATTGAGTGATAGTCACCAGATTGATGAATAGACCTGTTTTTTCACATCAATTCGATTATCGTCAATCGATCATTGGTTCAACACTTGTTGCGTCTTGATAGTAGTCTGTCTCCAACTAGACACGTCAACTAGTCCCAGTTTTGTTATTTCACATTTTTTAGATTTTTTTACATTGAGAAATAGGCGGATAGGCTATATTGCAGGAAATGCGCTGCCCGTCTGTCTATGTCTTACTGAACACAGTTGGCTCAAAAGCCAGCTGACACACCGTTAGAATATACCGGCTTGTGAAGCGTTTTTCCCCAACTTCCAGCTGGTGCGCTGGCATAAGTAACGGTATTTAGGAAGATAATTGAATATTACTTGCCCTTTTTTTGACGCGTGGTGTCAACAAGTTCTATTTGTTGTGTAATTTGCAGTTAAATTGGAGAAATTTCTGTTCCGGCGCGCACCATTTCTTAATTTTTTGCGCATGCGCTCAATTTATTCTCTTCATTGCAATGCCAACAGAACTTCCCAGAGCTGACTTCTGAAGTCAGCTCGGTAGAGTAATCTATGTCGATAATCTGCAAAAGGCTAATAAGCCCATATAAAGCACAAAGTCCCACACATCATAGAATATACTTTTATCGTCAAATAGAAATTATGTAAAGCTTACCTTAGACACGGCTTGATAACTGACGAAATTTAATGAATTTGAACACATTTCCAATATGGCGCCCTGAGGTCACAGAAGGTTACTTCCTGCGTTATTCCAATATAGTTTAAATGCAAAACTATGTATCAAATGAAATCGTAAGTATTTATGACACGGAGATTCAAAATAGCTACATGGTGTCGTTGAAAGTTGAAGGTTGAAAATTATATGCATGGTGAACGTGGTCTTTCAAGAAAGCCTGTATTCCGTACAGTGTATATCCAAATGTTCCATAGATGGTGTTCAGTGTGTCTGCGATGAATGTAAGGAGATGTGAAATGAAAATAGCTGCAAGAATCACTTTTAATGAGACGGTGTACAATTATTGAATGTCCATGTTCTCTCTAATAAATAGGTTCACACACTCAAATAAACATACACCCGACTTTTCAATGAAAAACCAGCAACTTGAGTAACAAAAATCAAGATAAAATAAAAAATAATTGGTGATTGGGTTTATTCCATTTATTAACTTACCTCTATTGATTCTACCATTTTTTTGCACAATACTGTTACAGTCTCCCAGCTTTTATTTTTGCCTCATTTGAAGAGAATTATATAGATTATTCATTTGATGTTGCAAAATACTTCATCAAGTTTTTAAAGTGAGTTTCAGGCTACAAGGATTTCTGTTTTCTCTCGATGCTATATTATTTTGGGCAAAAAGTTGCAATGTTACAAATAAATAACAATGTAACCTCATTTTGGAGAAATCTGTGTTTTTGTCAAATTAGCCAATATGAAGGAATCACCAAGACACCAAGTGTTGCCATTTTCATATATATGTAATTTTTTTGTTTGTTTAGGGGTCGTCTTCAGGCTTCAAGATGTGGCATGAGGCAAGGCGCCAGGAGAGGAAGATCAGGGGGATGATGGTAGATTATAAAAGACGTGCTGAAAGACGTCGTGATTATTATGAACGAATCGTAAGTACATGTACACAGAAAGTTAGGAAATCAATCAAATTTTTGTACACACAATGGATATAAAGCACTAGCATTCTGCAGTCATCCATGCCTCAAAATGTTCAGTATTTTAATATACAATTCTGGAAAAAGAAATCAATGGATCAATCTATTAAACAAAATATTGATCAATATTAGATCACAGGGGTTTCACTAGAATTTCTCAAAACATGCTTAATGAGTGAAAACAACAGGCAAAATAAATGGAAATTATAAATTTAACATGAAAAAGTTGAAAATTTCCAAAAAAGAACAGGCGATTTTGTGAAAACAACCGGCCGGTGAAAATCACCTGTTGCCTGCTGCTAATGAAAACCCTGAGATCTCATAGTTTATAAGACAATCATGTATATGATATCATTCAACAGCTGATATGCATACTTTGAATATAATGCCAAAATATTTTGGAAAGATGATCCGATTTAATTTATACATTATAAAGTTCAATTTCACACAAATATGATGAAATGCATAATATTTAACTGCACGCCATTTAGTGTGGTGCATATTGATTCTTAATCATAGAAGAAATCAGGATTCAGAAGACACCCCATCGTTGGAGATATTATAAATTTTCAAATTTTTACTTGTTTTAGAAAGCTGACCCAAGTATTTTTCTCCGGGTATATGGTAGGCCTGCCAAAATCAACCTTGACCCTGCCGTTGCTATAGCAGCTGAAAGTCCTAAAAGCATGTAAGATATTTTTTAGTTTTAACCTTAGTTGATAGACTAGTTTTATTTATTTTAAATCGAAACTCCCATGTAGCTGGATAGCAGGCGCTTTTAAGTCCAGTCCTTAATCTTGCCATCAAAATTCTATTAAAAACACTTCTCCATACAACTTGAAATTTTTACAGATGCAAGATCACACTAGCGGCAAGATCTCATTAGGTTTTAGGGTTGCTGGGTAAATTACTTGGTGGCCATTTAGATTCTATTTATTAAAATTTGCAATATTTATCACTATTGTATCGCTTGTTGTATTAGGATGCCATGGCAGGGGGACACAAGTAACATGATTGACAGGTTTGACGTGCGATCAAGTTTGGACATAATCCCGGAGTATAAAAGGACACCTTCCCACCAGTCAGAGGAGGAGGAAAAAGAGGAACACCGGTGTAACTATGAGAGATATAGGACATTGGTCCAGAATGAATATGATGGGGGTATGACTTTAATTCTTGTAAAGCTATGAGAGATATAGGACGTTGGTCCAGAATGAATATGATGGGGGTATGACTTTAATTCTTGTAAAGCTATGAGAGATATAGGACGTTGGTCCAGAATGAATATGATGGGGGTATGACTTTTATTCTTGTAAAGCTATGAGAGATATAGGACGTTGGTCCAGAATGAATATGATGGGGGTATGACTTTAATTCTTGTAAAGCTATGAGAGATATAGGACGTTGGTCCAGAATGAATATGATGGGGGTATGACTTTAATTCTTGTAAAGCTATGAGAGATATAGGACGTTGGTCCAGAATGAATATGATGGGGGTATGACTTTAATTCTTGTAAAACTATGAGAGATATAGGACGTTGGTCCAGAATGAATATGATGGGGGTATGACTTTAATTCTTGTAAAGCTATGAGAGATATAGGACGTTGGTCCAGAATGAATATGATGGGGGTATGACTTTAATTCTTGTAAAACTATGAGAGATATAGGACGTTGGTCCAGAATGAATATGATGGGGGTATGACTTTAATTCTTGTAAAACTGCATCATTTGCCTAAAAATTATATTTCAATTCACCAATTTTCATTATTTATCATGTTTGATCAATGAGAAGCGGTTCATATGTTTAGGGCGTGTATTATACATCATAGGAAAGTGTCCAAAAATCATTTAAAGAAATCAAAAAATTGATTTTCTACATTTCTATACAATTTTGTCTGTTAACTATAAGCCTGCTTACTGTATTCCTTTCTGATTTCACCCTTCCCCACTCTATTTTCAATTTAAAACTTGATAATGGTAAAATTTTCAATAAAAAACTTGATAATGGTAACATTTTCAATTTAAAACTTGATAATGGTAAAATTTTCAATAAAAAACTTGATAATTGTAACATTTTCAATTTAAAACTTGATAATTGTAACATTTTCAATTTAAAACTTGATAATTGTAACATTTTCAATTTAAAACTTGATAATTGTAACATTTTCAATTTAAAACTTGATAATGGTAACATTTTGTGCCCTTTTTGCAGTGACCCAGGAACAGTGGCTCCATCAACTACATCTTGATGAACAGTTTGGTGCTACAGACATTGATGTTGCTAAAGAGAAAGAAGAAGAAAAGAAAAAGTAAGAGAATTCTACCCCGAGGGCCTACTAAACCCTTCAAATGTTCTGTACAAAATGTACTTTACCCTGATATCGTATCCTTATCACTGTTCCCTTCAGGCTTTTTGACAGTGTGTAAAATTTACTTCTTTTAACACATGGATTTATTAAAAATTGCAATGTGTGTAATGTCCAAAATTGGTCAGATTTCAAAATATGATTTCTTTGAAAAGAAATTTGCTACAAAATGTAGTCATCAGTTACCACTTGTTCGAGTCAATGCCAAGTTTCGCTGAATGTTGTTCTGAACAAGTTTTCAGATCGATCTTTAGTCTACAGAATGTTAACATTCTTCACAATGCTATAAATATTGTTTGAGATGTTATTTAATATTCAAATAGTTCCCGTTTGTTTCATGAAATATTTTCAGCTCAAATATCTAGCATATTAGAGAGAGTAGTAGTAGTAGTAGTAGAAAGTATTATGTAAATGTAAAACACCATTATCCTAATGTTAGAGTTTGAAGCAGATAAGTGGAACACCTCCCATGGGAATACCTCCCAAGGAAATACCCCTAAGGGAAACCTCCAAAGAGAATACCTACCAAGGGAATACTCCTAAGGGAAACCTCCAAGGGAATACCCCTAAGGGAAAACCTCCAAATAGAATTCTTCCAAAGGGAAAACCCCTAAGGGAAACCTCCAAAGAGAATAACTCCCAAGGGAATACCCCTAAGGGAAAACCTCCAAATAGAATACTTCCAAAGGGAAAACCCCTAAGGGAAAACCTCAAAATAGAATACCTCCCAAGGGAATACCCCTCAGGGAAAACCTCCAAAGAGAATACCTCCCAAGGGAATACCCCTAAGGGAAAACCTCCAAATAGAATACTTCCAAAGGGAAAACCCCTAAGGGAAAACCTCAAAATAGAATACCTCCCAAGGGAATACCCCTCAGGGAAAACCTCCAAAGAGAATACGTCCCAAGGGAATACCCATAAGGGAAAACCTCAAAAGAGAATACCTCCCAAGGAAATACCCCCAAGGATAAGTCTCCAAAGACAATACCTCCCAAGGGAATACCCCTCAGGAGAAGCCTCCAAATAGAATACTTCCCAATGGAATACCCCTAAGGGAAAACCTCCAAAGACAATACCGTTCAAGGGAAAACCTCCAAAGAGAATACCTTCCAAGGGAATACCCCTAAGGGAAAACCTCCAAAGACAATACCTCCAAAGGGAATACCCCTAAGGGAAAACCTCTAAAGAGAATACCTTCCAAGGGAATACCCCTAAGAGAAAACCTCCAAAGAGGTACCTCCCAAGGGAATACCCCCAAGGGAATACCTCACAATTAACACCCTTCAATGGAACTTAAGGTATTAAGTTTTTAATTTGTATTCTGTTTCAGATTAGCAGTTAATAAGGCAGCTATAGGTTTCACTTATGAAGACAGTACTCCTGTTGAGAAGAAAAAATCTAAGAAAACTGAAAAAGGATTAAAAGATGATTCCGATGAAGAAGAAAGTAGTTCCGGCAGTGACTCAGATAGTGATTCAGATCTGGAGTTCGACTTAGGTAACTTTTCGTCAAATATTAAAATAAATCAAATTTATGATCTCAACTGGAGGACCATAGGTAGTGGTCAATGCAACCTGTATATCCACACACCTCTCAAACTTGCTCAATGCAAACACTCTCATTCTCAATTTTGTTATATTTCCCATAGGCTCACATATCAAGAAAGCCTTGGAATGTAAACAGCTGCTAATTAGAACACTTTTGGCTTCTAGTGGATTAGATTCAGATTAGACAGGTTTTAATGTACTATATCCCTGCCTTTCAGATATTAATGTTGATGTAGATGAACTCACACAGGACCAAATAGATGTGTTAAACAGCAGTGGGACAATGTTTGGACTGGGTGAAACAGACTATATTGAGTAAGGATATTTTTTTCACATATCACTTCTTATGTCACCATCAAAAAGTGGTGACATATTATTATGGTGTCCTTTATTTTTTTGACAGTGATCGGCGGTTGGTGTATAGAATGACTTCAGTTGTTTCCAAAATCATCTCCATGTTTTCAGAAGTTCAGATCTGATTTTATATTTAAGATTTGACCTTCAATGACCTTTTCAAGATCAAAAAAGGTCAAAAAGGTCTTTTTTCAACTTGCTTCAAAATTGACCATTTTTTTCAAAATCATCTACAAGTTCTCTACATTTCAAATCTGACTATAGATTTGACCTTCAATGGCATTCTCAAGGTCAAAATAGATTTGACTTTTAATGGCCTCAAGGTCAAAAAGGTCTTTTTTTATCTTGCTTCAACTAGGTGGTGACATTTTGTCATGTTAATGCCTTGTTATTACATCAAGTTGTCACCAGCTCAAGAGATACTAAATAATTACAATAAAGATTTTTAAATGTTCTGTATATGGTAATGTCAAGAATTAGTAACATATTGTTGTTATCATTTTTGTGTGGTTGATGTCTGTACCAAATTGTTACACTTGGTAATTGCAAGCAGGTGGTGATATTTTGTCATGTTAATTTGTCTGTACCAAATTGTTACACTTGGTAATTGCAAGCAGGTGGTGATATTTTGTCATGTTAATTTGTCTGTACCAAATTGTTACACTTGGTAATTGCAAGCAGGTGTTGATATTTTGTCATGTTAATTTGACTGTACCAAATTGTTACACTTGGTAATTGCAAGCAGGTGGTGATATTTTGTCATGTTAATTTGACTGTACCAAATTGTTACACTTGGTAATTGCAAGCAGGTGGTGATATTTTGTCATGTTAATTTGTCTGTACCAAATTGTTACACTTGGTAATTGCAAGCAGGTGGTGATATTTTGTCATGTTAATTTGTCTGTACCAAATTGTTACACTTGGTAATTGCAAGCAGGTGGTGATATTTTGTCATGTTAATGTGTGTCTGTAACAACAAATTGTTACACTTGGTAATTGCAAGCAGGTGGTGATATTTTGTCATGTTAATGTGTCCGTACCAAATTGTTACACTTGGTAATTGCAAGCAGGTAGTGATATTTTGTCATGTTAATGTGTCTGTAACAAATTGTTACACTTGGTAATTGCAAGCAGGTGGTGATATTTTGTCATGTTAATGTGTCCGTACCAAATTGTTACACTTGGTAATTGCAAGCAGGTGGTGATATTTTGTCATGTTAATGTGTCTGTAACAAATTGTTACACTTGGTAATTGCAAGCAGGTGGTGATATTTTGTCATGTTAATGTGTCCGTACCAAATTGTTACACTTTGGTAATTGCAAGCAGGTGGTGATATTTTGTCATGTTAATGTGTCTGTACCAAATTGTTACACTTGGTAATTGCAAGCAGGTGGTGATATTTTGTCATGTTAATTTGTCTGTAACAAATTGTTACACTTGGTAATTGCAAGCAGGTAGTGATATTTTTTCATGTTAATGTGTCTGTAACAAATTGTTACACTTGGTAATTGCAAGCGGGTGGTGATATTTTGTCATGTGAATTTGTCTGTAACAAATTGTTACACTTGGTAATTGCAAGCAGGTAGTGATATTTTGTCATGTTAATGTGTCTGTACCAAATTGTTACACTTGGTAATTGCAAGCAGGTAGTGATATTTTGTCATGTGAATTTGTCTGTAACAAATTGTTACACTTGGTAATTGCAAGCAGGTGGTGATATTTTGTCATGTTAATGTGTCCGTACCAAATTGTTACACTTGGTAATTGCAAGCAGGTGGTGATATTTTGTCATGTTAATGTGTCTGTAACAAATTGTTACACTTGGTAATTGCAAGCAGGTGGTGATATTTTGTCATGTTAATGTGTCCGTACCAAATTGTTACACTTTGGTAATTGCAAGCAGGTGGTGATATTTTGTCATGTTAATGTGTCTGTACCAAATTGTTACACTTGGTAATTGCAAGCAGGTGGTGATATTTTGTCATGTTAATGTGTCTGTACCAAATTGTTACACTTGGTAATTGCAAGCAGGTGGTGATATTTTGTCATGTTAATTTGTCTGTAACAAATTGTTACACTTGGTAATTGCAAGCAGGTAGTGATATTTTTTCATGTTAATGTGTCTGTAACAAATTGTTACACTTGGTAATTGCAAGCGGGTGGTGATATTTTGTCATGTGAATTTGTCTGTAACAAATTGTTACACTTGGTAATTGCAAGCAGGTAGTGATATTTTGTCATGTTAATGTGTCTGTACCAAATTGTTACACTTGGTAATTGCAAGCAGGTAGTGATATTTTGTCATGTTAATGTGTCTGTAACAAATTGTTACACTTGGTAATTGCAAGCGGGTGGTGATATTTTGTCATGTGAATTTGTCTGTAACAAATTGTTACACTTGGTAATTGCAAGCAGGTGGTGATATTTTGTCATGTTAATGTGTCTGTAACAAATTGTTACACTTGGTAATTGCAAGCGGGTGGTGATATTTTGTCATGTTAATGTGTCTGTAACAAATTGTTACACTTGGTAATTGCAAGCGGGTGGTGATATTTTGTCATGTGAATTTGTCTGTAACAAATTGTTACACTTGGTAATTGCAAGCAGGTGGTGATATTTTGTCATGTTAATTTGTCTGTACCAAATTGTTACACTTGGTAATTGCAAGCAGGTGGTGATATTTTGTCATGTTAATGTGTGTCTGTAACAACAAATTGTTACACTTGGTAATTGCAAGCAGGTGGTGATATTTTGTCATGTGAATTTGTCTGTAACAAATTGTTACACTTGGTAATTGCAAGCAGGTGGTGATATTTTGTCATGTTAATGTGTCTGTACCAAATTGTTACACTTGGTAATTGCAAGCAGGTGGTGATATTTTGTCATGTTAATGTGTCTGTAACAAATTGTTACACTTGGTAATTGCAAGCAGGTAGTGATATTTTGTCATGTTAATGTGAATTTTATGTCCACTGTCAACCTTAAACTTAAGAGATAGAATCAGGTTTATATTGTTTCATATTCAATCCAATGAAAAAGTAAGATCAAATTGAAATAACCCAATTTGGAGTAAAGGAGTGAAAACTGAACAGAACTAAAAAGTTCTAAATAGATTTTTAAATGGGTGCAAACTTGCTCATTGAATACTAGTAAGCATGGAGACTTGAGAGAATGAAATGTAATTATTTTTAATTCATAATTTTATTTTAAATGTATGCGATTTGTTTTTCAGTTTCCTTAAAAAAGACAAAAGGGACACAGAAGAATTTAAATTGGCAAAAATGGTGGAAGAAGAAAAGGCTCAATTTTCAGTGAGTATTCATTTTGGATCATTGAGAATTTAATCTAATTGGAACACAATTCCATCTAATTGATCAAGGATACATTAAGATACTAAAACTAATACCAGCATCAATTCTGTGATAATTATTTAATTTTTTTAGATGCAAAAATGTAGTCATTAGTGGCTATCTTGACGAAATCAACTGAATATCAGCTCCAGTAGGAGCTTTATTTGAATAATTTGAGTTTGTTGGCTTGCTAGTCTTTATTAACAGCTCTATTATAACCATAATCATATTTGAGATAAAAGTTAAAACGAGCCTCTATTATTTTGCCAACTAAGTCATTCAATGAATAATCCATGGATTTCTTCATTTTTAGGGTCGCAAGTCACGACGGGAAAGGAGAGCTTATAAGGAAAAACAGTTAATGAACAGAAAGTTCAGTCCACCAAGGTAAAACAAGTTTGCGAATGTGATTGAAGCAAGCAAAAACAAAAATATTATTTAAAAGTAGATTAATTTGCAAATACCTTATCTATAATCTGTTACCCATTGACCATATTTTTGCTTATGATTTCACTCAGTATGTGCAACTAGTGAATAGAAAATAAAATAACCCAGAATTCAAAGATTAACTTAGAGGTTCATCTTTACTAAAAAAGTTTCATCTATGAATTATGGGATAATCTTGCCTCTTAAGTGTGTCAATATGGTAATATGTAAAATGAAAGTTCTTTGCATTGCATTTTAAACTTCATGTATATTTTGATCCCATTCTTTTTCATGCTATTTTGTATATTCAAAACATGAGGTTGAAATTATAACTAGATTATTTATTCTGTCTTCAGTTATGCTGCCCGTGACAGCCCAGAATACAAACCATACAACAAGTAAGTTGCACATTATGCACTAGTGCCCTCCTGAATACAAACCATACAACAAGTAAGTTGCACATTATGCACTAGTGCCCTCCTGAATACAAACCATACAACAAGTAAGTTGCACATTATGCACTAGTGCCCTCCTGAATACAAACCATACAACAAGTAAGTTGCACATTATGCACTAGTGCCCTCCTGAATACAAACCATACAACAAGTAAGTTGCACATTATGCACTAGTGCCCTCCTGAATACAAACCATACAACAAGTAAGTTGCACATTATGCACTAGTGCCCTCCTGAATACAAACCATACAACAAGTAAGTTGCACATAATGCACTAGTGCCCTCCTGAATACAAACCATACAACAAGTAAGTTGCACATTATGCACTAGTGCCCTCCTGAATACAAACCATACAACAAGTAAGTTGCACATTATGCACTAGTGCCCTCCTGAATACAAACCATACAACAAGTAAGTTGCACATTATGCACTAGTGCCCTCCTGAATACAAACCATACAACAAGTAAGTTGCACATTATGCACTAGTGCCCTCCTGAATACAAACCATACAACAAGTAAGTTGCACATTATGCACAAGTGCCCTCCAGAGTTCACTACTATGGTTAATAATAAAAACATGATGGCCACTAATATTGGCATTCAAGCTATTGCCCAATAGGCAACTTGTTTTTCCAAGTCCACGGCCAAGAGTAAAAAGTGATTGCCCAATTTAACATATTGGCATTGGGTCCATTGCCCAATAGGCAACTCATTTTGCCCCATTTTGTAATTAAACTGTCAGTTGTAAAAAGTTTGAAGTATTTGCTATATTCCCTTTTTACGAAAATAAGAATCAAATCAAATATAAAGCATTTCATAAAAGTGAAATTCTTAATGGTGTGCAGAACGATATTGATAGAATTTTTCAAAATGCAACCCTATAAGGGATTGTTGTAAGCGAAAGTGACAACATTCATATTTTTACTTGTTTTTTCTAGACGTGCCTCGAAGTCACGTTCCCGATCCCGTTCTTACTCACCTCCGAGGGCCAATCCGGTTTACATTACAAGCTTTGGGCATGACAGCGACGGAGAAGGCGGGGGCATCATGCAGGGGCCGTGTCTTCCTAACCAAATAATGCCAGTCGGTCCACAGCTGCCAAATGTTGGACCACAGCTGCCGAAAGTTGAACCTCAGCTGCCGTCTTCTGCTCAAGGACCGTCACTTCCAGAAAATAATCCAATCAGATCCCGGTCGGTGCTCAATATTTTCCCTATTTTACGTCTAAATTGGAAGCTTATGTACAAAATGTTACTAGGTGCGGGGTGATTGAAAAGTATTGAGAAATGTTTTCTAAATATTCTCCAAAACATTGATTGAACGTGTGTTTACAAAGAGTCACATTGTGAAAAACAGTATACATTACAAATGTGGTGTAACTCATTTGGTATAAAATGCCAACACGAACACACCTAATTGATAGACAGGAGTTGAATAAAAACAATAACAGAGAATACAGACATTTTCTGAGAACTTATCGATCAGCCCTTGTACAATATGAAGTTATTCACTATAACTATAAATTGATCCCCGATGACAGCAAAGAAGCAGGTTTGTAACATGGCATTGAGATTATGCAATTGTGTTAAAGACAGCCAATAGATGGCGAGCTGTGTTGAATTGGCACTATTATGTAAAAATCACTTAATAATTTCAAAAAGTCATCATGTTGAATTTTCAAACATGTAGTAGACGGAGAAAAATTTAAAGTAGTAAGTATTGTGTAATTGAAGTTTTAATACAGTAATATTTACACACAAATCAATGGAACAGATTTGAAGAACACTTTTAACTGTTATTTTGTGGACTGCCATCTGATAAGTCTCCAATGATTCAACTTCTTCAGGTCTTGCATAGAAAATATTGGTTTGTCCAGATTAACACTATCTCGCTTTAGGGCCTCTGAAAACTTATCATCTTCTGCAATAAAGGCCATCGTTGAATCGGTTTTAAACCTGGTAGACATGTTCAAGTTCAAAACAACCAGGTAACTCATTCAAGTAGGTTTGCCTAAATTACAGAGTAAGATATATCAATTCTTCACTTGATTTATTTGATGTTTAATATTTCTTATAGGTTATCTAGAAGTAGGTCGAGAAATAGATCAAGATCTAGAAGTTGGAGTTCAAGGTCATCTTCAAGGTCAAGAAGTAGGTCAAGGTCATATAGCAGCAGATCAAGGTCAAGGTCATACAGCAGGTCACGAAGTAGATCACGAAACAGGTGAGAAATGAAGGGTCATTTTTGAATGGCTAGAACAGCCAACCATGTTAATTTAATACATTAGCCATATAACATACGATAGACAAGATGTAATTTTATGAATGATAACTAAATATTCTGTCATTTATATATTGTGTTCTTTAATAGCTTTTTACTTTTTTCATTTGCTAAGATTAGAATTTCCAATGTATTCTGAGTAATGACATATCCATGTGCATAGTAGAAATGTGGTGTGAATCTCATTCAATTTAGGTCAAGGTCATATCGGAGAAGTCACAGTCGAAGTAGAACCGGAAGGTCAAGATCCCGAGACAGGTATCGAAGGTCAAGATCGAGGGACAGATATCGTTATTCTAGGTCAAGGTCAAGATCAAGGTATGTATGTTATCAGTTTTTTCTTTAAAACATTAAGCAAAGCCTCAGTAGGCTTTAGCTGTAGTAAACACAATTTTAATATTGGTTTTGGTATGTGAGGCCATGTAATACTGTCACTGCTAATTTGATAAGGTTACTTTTATAACCATTCAGTTGAGAAAAGAGTTTTGGACATTTTTAGCCAGAATTATGAAGTAATATAATATTTTGTATTCAGTATAAGTGATGAGTCAATCAGACAAGGTTTTCAAAAAAACTCTATTATAGTTAATATGTGAATATTTGTTTCATTTCATACGGTTATACATTTTGACAATGTCTGATGAATAGGAAAACATTGAAATTTACAGAAGCAGAGAGAAGAAAGTACCAATAAAGCGCTATCGTCGTCCAAGTCTATCCAGCGGAAGTGACAATGAGGTGGAGGTGTCAAGCTACAGAGATCGCCAGTTGAAGACTAATACAGACATTTCAAAGTCAAAGTATGATATAATTATTTCTATGTGCAAACGAATAATTTGAAGCAAAGCTGATCTTTTTGATTGCTTGTAGGTCATATGTCTCATAACAAACGTTTTGAATATTGTAAATTAGAAACATGTAAATGACAGTTGCAGCTTTGTATTTTTCACATCAGACAAAGATATTAAAAAGTTAGTGACACGGTTATCTAATAGCTAAGATGAGGGTTTTTGAAATAATCAAAACCTGACCAAATCTAAACTTGAATCCAATAGTTTTTTACTATGAAACAATAATATTTTTAAGAAAACGTGTAATATACATCACCATTTTTGTTTGCTTTATTTTCCAGGCCAAGCTATGGTTCTACATTGGGTATTAAACGAGAAACATCTGACAAAGTCAGTAAGACATTATCCTCTCTTTCCAAGATTTTTTCTGAAATTGTTAGAAAATGATTCAAAATTTGGGTTAGAATTTTTGTTAAGAAAAGAATTCAAGATTTGTAGAGTTTCCTTGATTGATTTATTTTTTATTTGATAATATTATCACCAATTTACCAATATACACATTTTTGGGGGTTTGATACAACAGAAATTGAATAAATTCAGGTCCTGGATCTAAATAGTAAACTGTTTGAAAACAACACAATATGTCCAAAAATTAGTTTAATTCTATCTCATTGAATTGATTATATACTTTTTTTGCTCAGAAATCTCTGATACATTGTAATTGTTTGTCTAAAGCCCTGTATACTCTGGCAATTGAAATGCTTGTTTGAAATGGTTGAAATGAAAATGAACTTGAAAATCGCTCAGGTGAATTGATTGAAATGCTTGAAAGGACAAAACAAGCTCAAGCAGCGAAACCGCAATTTCATTTTCTAAGGCGTATTGATCAAAACACCTGAAATGCTGGAAATGATTCAAGATTGAGACAGTTGAACTAATTCACTCAAATGCTTTGTTTGGGTATATCAAAATTGCACCATTCATTCTCTAACTATTAAGATATTTATTGAGCATTAAATAACCTCAATATGATCCCTAATGTTAATTTACACATACATGTATTTGTGTTTTTCTCAATAGCCTTTGAGTTAACAATGTTAAGCCTATGACTGCCTATGTGTTTTATCATCATTTTGCATAACACATTTTCATGAAATGGAAGGTATGGGTGATATCATTTTAGTCAGTTTAAGTCAGTTTAACTATGTTTTTCACATGAATGTTACTCTTGACAGGAAAACTTGTATTGAATTTATACATTGTATAGTGTAATGATTGCTCAATTATCAATTATTATTGAGTCCATTCATAGATGGCGCTTTGAAATGGAATCATGGGAAAAAGCACATGTGTGTCATATAATAATGGGAAGTACACACTTAAAATCCCCATTGGCCACCATTATAACCTTTACTGACATATCTCTCTCTCTCTCAAGATTTCAGAAAGTTAATGACATATACCATGTTGTTGAACAATATGTCCCCTACCAGTGATAAAAATGTGAAAAAGATTTAGTCATAAAAATCAAAACTTCTAACCTGTTTTTCCCGCCATCTATTCAAATTTCTTAGAATTTGGCGTATGAATCTGGTCAAACAGTACATGTGATCAAGTTCAAATATTTTTATTACATGCTTATTTTTAACAATTATTTTTATCATAGTACATACCTAACATGTCAACAATTCAACATGCATCACTGCCACATTTTCACTCAAGATGGCGCTGCTACAGAGTACTTTCGGGGACTATATTCCCAGTTTTAAATACAGATTTTTTGTCCCCTCCATATAGCGGAGGGATATAACTGTGTACTTAGGCCTAAGGCTAAAAATATATTCCACCATTGATTTAGACTGAAATGATGTCTAAGTTAGTTATTGACAAAACTTGTACATATTAGGACTCCAAACTTAACATATTTGTTTCATGGTTTCCTGTTTTCACTTCACTTGGAAATCAATATTATTTTCACAAAGATTCAGTGAGATATTGATAAGGAAAGTAATGTAATGAAAAAAAAATAATCAAATTTAGGGAGTGAGGATTCATAGCAATTATTGTTTGTTTTTAATAAAAGTTCTAACTTCTGATCCAAAAATCAAGTTTAGTACAATTTATAGGGGAATAGAGGGTCTCATTATGAAATATTCTTAAGTTTTAGTTCCTTTTAGTATAGGTTTAACACAATTCTCCTTTTCGCGGTTCGCTCTTTGAATCAGAACGTTCGCAAATATGCACTGAAAAAGCACTCAAAAAGGACAAAATTTGATTGGTCAATATTTTCCCACTATGCATTTCGCGTAGCTATTTGCGTGACACGAAAGTTCTAAATCAAACTAATTACTCAATTTTGTTTTTACACCCGCACGCTAAATAAAACAATGACACCATCGTAAGTATTCTTCTTTGTCATTGCTTTAATAGCCAGTATACCGAGTTTAATCAATAAAAGATTGTACAATGAACAACAAAATTCGGAAACGAGTACTATAGATTTGCTTTCGGACCACTGAACAGATTGACCTATATAATAGCGACGCGTCTTCTTTGGTCTACTGCTCAGTTGTTTGTGGGTTTTCAACGTAACTCTATAATGTAATTTTAAGATGAATACTTTTATTCAGTTGTTGCATCGATGTCGCAGTTTGTAGTGCGGTAAGATTGGCATGAAAGTATTGAAAGTCGAATGGAATTGTTTTTTCCAATATGGCGACTATACTACTGATCACGTGACCTTCTCTTCCGGAATATTTTCTCACTTTTCAATCATCGTTTTCACCACGCTATGAATTAATACAATGAAAAAAATAGCTGTTATATTAAGATTAATGAGAGATCAATCGTTTCTAATAATTTTTTCTGTACTCTCGTACGGGAATATGAACGAATATATCGTTTGAAAAATAGGTGTGAAAATCCCCATGTTAAACCTACGAGGGAAAATAAGGAAGTATAAATTTGTTCCTCCGCGAACTGCATCATGGGAAATATTTTGCCCTTATAAGGAAAGATTTTCGCGTCTTCTCTTTTGAAGAGGGAACAACGATTTCGAGAATTAGATATTGTACATAAGTTTTTGGAGACATAATGATTTCTAGCTGTTTTCAGGGTGCCAAGCTGACACATGCAGAGAAACTGAAACGTAAAATGCAGGCGGCTTTAAACAAACAATGTAAGTATATTTATTGCTTTACGGCACCTGAAAAGGGAACAGTATTGTTGTAAATTTGACGGGGGATGGTATCTCACTTTTTCTGCACATTACCGCAAGCAAACTGTTTGATATTGCCTGACATAAAAGTAACTTTCCTAAATTTTATGCAATAAATATTCCTAGATAATTCAACAGGATTTTGATAGGGAATTATGCAATGGACATATGGAAAAGGGGAAAAGAATTGATATATCGTATTAATTGTATGAATTTTGTTTGAAGACAAGAGTGACAAGAAAACACAAGAGAAGAAAGTGATGATGAAGGAGCGGCAGAGGATGGACAGAGAGGACGAGATAAGGAGCTCTGCGATGGAGATGAGGAAGAGAGAACGGGAAAGGAGACATCGCGATGCCTTGGAGAGGGAGAGATTGGAGAGTGAGGTTTGTATTGTTGCCTGCAATTTTTACGATGTCTTGCATTAGTCAATCCAAAATGAATGGGGTTCTTTGAAACTCACAATGGACATGTGAAACAAACATGTACGTATAGAACAAAATATGTATATCATGGCTTTTAGAGTATACAAAGAAGGCACCTAAAATCAGTGTTTTTTAACCAACTGAATATAACCATTGCTAAGTTTAAAAATATCACAAATTCAAATGTGACTGTTGCTTCTATGCTATGCACTCATGATATCCGCACAGAGCATTTTCTGCCTGCTCAGGCAACATAGGGTGACTATGGAAATATTGGAAAATGGTTTCATATTTCCAAGTGAAGCGCACTTGGCATGAACCATGCAAAGAGTGAGAAATATGTCAGTGATTTAACAATGTAATTTTTAGCTAGTTATTATTTCTGGTTGTCAGCAGATGAAGCAGTCTCACTCTGAAAATCGGCAAAGGAAAAGCAGTCCACGTAAACGCTCAAGGTCACGATCCAGATCACCACGGCAACGCAGAAAACAACGGTTAGTTACCCTGAGACTATGTAGTGCTTACTTATCTCTGAATTGTACTCAGTTTTACTACAGTCACTGATAACAATTATAACTTTTGAAAAGGGTGCTGTACAAATTAATAGAACAAGTTCCACTGAAGAATCCTCTGAATTTTTGATTTGAATCATGAACAGTGGGTAAATTTAGTATTGAGGATTTGCAGACTATACACACATCCTAGTTTTCTGCATGATAAAAATACAAATTCTGTGCAGAAATTCTTCATGAAAAAGAATAATTCTGGGCCAAATACTGCATGAAATCCAGAATTCCTCAATAAATTCTGCAAGCAACGGTTTCATCTGAACTTTATTGAAATGGCAGGGAATTCAAATTTCCTGACATATTAGGCATAATCTTTATACATCTTTATACATTTTTGAGCGGAGGGATTACTTTTTGGTAATAAAGTTTTTTAAGGGGGAGAGAAGAATCTTATAATAAGGCAGCATTTCCACCTAGTCTCACATCCATTTAGAGAATTCACGATTGAATCTCAGGGAGTATGAAAAATCAAATGTAACATTTTAAAACCAAATCCCCTCCTTTGAGAAGAGTGTCTTATGGGCCTGGAGATAAAGCACACTCTACCTTTCTTATGAAGCATGGAAAAGGCCTTCCATGATCCACAAAAGTCAGTTGGTCCTGTTAGTTTCTATTTATATCTGGTCTGCATTTTGTATCTAACCCGGGGGGGGGGGGTATTGTAACCTACTGAAATGGAGTTATGCTGACTTACTTTTTTTCTCTATTATCTCACAAGAATTAAAGTACACAGTCTTTGACGATCTACTTTTAAGTGACAATTTTCAGAATGCAAAATATGTACATAAATGGCATTGCTTTTGCCATGGTTACAAAAAAGCATGGAAAAAACAATTTGATTTTGTCTTACCTTGAAAAGTTGGAAAATTTTAGAATTTCTTCAAAGTTGAGTTTTTGGATCCCAATGTTAATTTCACCTTTTTATGTCCCCACCACATAGTGTAGCAAAACTGCTACAGATATCACCTTCAATTTTTCAGGGATAACTTGTAAGTGCATATAGATGTGGATGAAAAAAATTTAACTCAAAACCTACTTCCTGTCGGCCATTTTGAAGTCAAATGCTAAAATCCTTGACTGCAAACTTTAAGAAAAACAGCTTCACAGTTGCTTTTAAAACTTAAACATCTTGTTCAGCTCACTTCAGGTTTTGGACCTGTTAGCTCAGTCATGTCAGCCATTTTGAATGTTTTAAGAAAAGTTAGTGCGCGATAATACTTTGTATCATATTGAATGGTGTTTTTCAATTTTCATACTTTAACAATTTAGTAGCTTTATAAATAATTTCAGGTGTACTTTGTTGTAATAGCCTATGTTATTGTTAACAGTAGTTATATGTGATAATTTTGTAAAAAGAAATCAGCAAAAACTCATTATCTCTTTTTTATTGTCGGCCATTTTGGATTTTCCGTCCTAAAATCTTGTCTGTAAAGTCTTGTCTACGCATTTCCAGGTGAACCGTTCTGTAGATCAATTTCAAATTTTCAGGGATGATTCTTAGTATGAAAATCTAGATCTGATTAGTTTTTGGGCATTCTGGGTAAATGTCAAGGCAGCCATTTTGGATGTTCTGTCCTAAAATCTTGTCTGTAAAGTCTTGTCTACGCATTTCCAGGTGAACCGTTTGGTAGATCAATTTCAAATTTTCAGGAATGATTCTTAGTATGAAAATCTAGAACAGATTAGTTTTTTGGCATTCTGGATAAATGTCAAGGCAGCCATTTTGGATTTTTCGTCCTGAAATCTTGTCTGTAAAGTCTTGTTTACATATTTTCTGGTTAACTGTGTGACGGATCAATTTCAAATTTTCAGGGGTTGTTATTAGTAAGAAAATCTCGAACTTATTAATTTTTTGGCATTCAGGGTAAATTTTAAGGTGGCCATTTTGGATTTTCCGTCCTCAAATTGTGTCGGTAAAGTCTTGTCTACTCATTTTTAGGATAACCATTTGACGGGATCATCCATAGGTGGGGACATTTTGTACACATTTGTGTTCTTGTTCCACTCTATTTTGTTAATGTGCTGTGCTTTGTCAAGACGACCTCAGACATTCATGACAGGAGGACATTCATGACATTTCATGGTGACCTCAGCATATCTCAACACATGAATCTTGCATCAGTTTTCATATTTAATTTGTCAGAGTACTGAATTACAGCTCATGCTTGTCATGATTCTCCAATATAGAGTCCAGTTCATTTAATTAAACCTACATCCCTACATCTTGTCACAGAGTTATATTAATATATGGAACATAATACGACTGTTTAGCTGACTCAGATTGTCATAGTCATGTTTATACATATATGTAGTACGTTAAATGCAATGTTTTATAAAAATGACAATTTTCCTAGTATATAGCAATTGAAATAGTTCTACAGGGATAGTTTCAAATAGATCATCAAATGGAATTGAGAGTGAAAATGAATGGAATTGAGAGTGAAAATGAATGGAATCGAGTGAAAATGAATGGAATTGAGAGTGAAAATGAATGGAATTGAGAGTGAAAATGAATGGAATTGAGAGAGAAAATGAATGGAATTGAGAGAGAAAATGAATGGAATTGAGAGAGAAAATGAATGGAATTGAGAGTGAAAATGAATGGAATTGAGAGTGAAAATGAATGGAATTGAGAGAGAAAATAAATGGCATTGGCAAGAAATAAACAAATGTCCTTGCAGTTTCCACTCCCAAATTGTATAGAAAAGCAGATAATCACAATTCTTTCAATTCCTGAAATGAGAAATCCATTTTCACTGGATTATTTGTATATGTCTTTGTATATACATACAAAATAACAAACCACATTACCACTACTTCTGATTTTTCCAGGTCAAGGTCACGTTCAAGGTCACCCAAAGGTCATCACAAAAGACTGGTTGACTACTGACGAGACAGGTGGGCGCTGTTGATATCTGTTACACTAACGCAATAGTTAACTTAGTTAAGATGTTCAGTGTTTGACTGTTGAACACCTGAAAGGATTCCAACTTAGTATAAGAAAACACTGTTTGAAGACCAGCTCAAATTGAGTTCAAATAAAATAGAATGTTGGCGAGGAAGTGAGGTTGAGCGCCAGACAGAATAAACAGTTGAAAGCTAGTGTAAAAGGACTTCAAAACTAGCACAAAGCAACTATTGAAATACTAGCTGGAAATAGTATTAAAATAGATCCAAAATAAGTTGAAAACTAGAAAAGGCTTTTGGAAGCTATAGCCTTAGAATGATTTTAAAACTAGCAAGAAGTGTAAATCACTGTTGAATTTAGTAAAAGACTACTCGAAATTGCCTTGAAAAAGCTATGGAATTAAAGCAAGGGTTAAATAAATCTTGGATAACTCCTGAATTAAAGGTGCAATAATTAGAGCAGAGGGGTCATTCAACGATCATGGACCAGTGTCAAAATATATTTAAGTTTGGATATTTAATCAAGACTAACATCTATTTTTATTATCTACAAAGAAACCCCCTAGATAAACATTATTTTAGCTGATATTCCTCTTGAAACATGGTGGATCATAAAAATATTAAAGTGGAAGTCCCCTTTTTGAAGCTTTGAACTGAATTTACACTTCTTAATGCTGAAATTGATAATTTATCCATACATTTTAAGAAAATAGGTATGTCAAAGAAGATGTTAAACCAAATGTTGCCTTGATAGCTCAGAAAAAATGAAAAAACTTTCCTATTTTCTCTACAGTCCTTATTGCCCCTTTAAAAGAAACTTTGCCATAAGATACTATGGGGTATCGGTGTAGTACTACATAATGCTAGAGATTCCAAACAGAACTCTGACACATGCCACCATAAATGTTCATATTGAGAAGTGTTCTTATGGTTTATCATTATATGTCAGTCAATGGGTCATCTAAACATCAGACAAAATGATTACATTTCTGGTGTTAACATTACTAGGTGTTCACATTTCTGGTGTTCACATTACTAGGTGTTCACATTTCTGGTATTCACATTACTAGGTGTTTACACTTCTGGTGTTCACATTACTAGGTGTTTCATTTCTGGTGTTCATATTACTAGGTGTTTACATTTCTGGTGTTCACATCACTAGGTGTTAACATTTCCGGTGTTCACATTACTAGGTGTTTACATTTCCGGTGTCAATATTACTAGGTGTTTACATTTCTGGTGTTCACATTACTAGGTGTTTACATTTTTGATATTCACATTACTAGGTGTTTACATTTTTGATATTCACATTACTAGGTGTTTACATTTCTGCTGTTCATATTACTAGGTGTTTACATTTCTGGTGTTCACATTACTAGGTGTTGACATTTCTGGTGTTCACATTACTAAGTCTTTGAATTTCTGGTGTTCACATTACTAGGTGTTTACATTTCTGGTGTTCACATTACTAGGTGTTGACATTTCTGGTGTTCACATTACTAAGTCTTTGAATTTCTAGTGTTCACATTACTAGGTGTTGACATTTCTGGTGTTCACATTACTAAGTCTTTGAATTTCTTGTGTTCACATTACTAGGTGTTTACATTTCTGGTGTTCACATTACTAGGTGTTGACATTTCTGGTGTTCACATGACTAAGTCTGAATTTCTGGTGTTCACATTACTAGGTGTTTACATTTCTGGTGTTCACATTACTAGGTGTTTACATTTCTGGTGTTCACATTACTAGGTGTTGACATTTCTGGTGTTCACATTACTAAGTCTTTGAATTTCTGGTGTTCACATTACTAAGTCTTTGAATTTTTAGTGTTCACATTACTAGGTGTTGACATTTCTGGTGTTCATATTACTAAGTCTTTGAATTTCTAGTGTTCACATTACTAGGTGTTGACATTTCTGGTGTTCATATTACTAAGTCTTTGAATTTCTAGTGTTCACATTACTATGTGT